GCATCTTTAGATTCTGTAGGTGCAATGCATAGATTCAGTGCTACGTAAATGATTACTAAAATACTTTTAAATGATTTTTAATTATTAAACTAAAGCACAGACTTGATAGAAATAACAATACACAGCCGACATTAACAACAAAAACATGAATGAGAGGTCTAATTCAGCGATTTGAGTTAAATAAGGTGAAGGCTAGGAGATAGTGATTAGGCTGATTACAGTTAAACCTGTCCAAAGATCTGACTAATGTTTGGACCTAGGCCATTGTTTAACACTTCATTCATTTGCATCTGTTACACAGATGTCTTGTGTTTTTTTGCGTCCTATCATTTCTATCATATATTGTACAAGACAATAGAGTTCAGGTGAACTTAGGTAAAGCTAGCACACTGTTAGCATATGTAATTGTATATGTGTGTGCGTGTATGTGTATGCATGTGTGTGTGCGTGTGTGCATCTTTGCAGGTTGATAGCTAGGTGTTTCCCAGCAGTGAGATCCTCTGTCATCACTGTCCAAACACCTCCTCCCTCTGCAGCTGAAACATTCTGTCTTTCTCTCTGGAGTCTCTTCAGCTCTCTCTTTGGGGGTTCATTGACTCTCTGCTTGTCTCTACTGCTGAATCTCACACTTTTGACGCACAGGACTATCACTCTTTTTCAATCCGCTCACTCTATCTCACACTTACTCTCTCTTAAGGGATACCTCGTCTCCCTCTTCCCAGTCTGTATTTCATTAGGGAGCGTCTAGTTTAAGATAAATCTCCCTTGTAATACCCTGTGTTTGTAGCCTATATTCCCAGTTTATTTGAATTAATTTGGATTTTAGGGCAATAGAGATATAGAGCTTGTTTCTTTAAGCCTAATTAAGGGCCATGACCTTTTTTTCTTTTTCTTTTTTTTAGTGGAGAGCTTTTTTTTTCTTTTTGTATGCTACTAAGTGTAATCCATGTCTGAGAAAACATACTAATTGTGTATGGTTATTAGCATTTAAACAAATTCAGAGACAGAAATATGTCAGTTAGCATTAGCAAACAATACCAAAATGCCAACGTGCCACAGGCTTCACTGAGGAGCTAGTTAAATCACTTTCTAATCCCAATCTTGACTAAAGAATAAATCTAACGTCAAAGACGCCAGCCTAGTTTAGGTATATACAATGGACCCTACTGTTGGTGGTCCATTCAGGTGCTATTCTTTTATTATTTTGAGTATTGGTTTTAACTTTTTCTTCAAAATAGTTTTGGTTTTAGTCCTATCTTTGCATTCACCTACTAAAGATTTTAATAACTGTCTTGACTATTAAAATATTCAGATTTTCAATCGTAAATTAATATTGTGGCATCAAAGCTTTGTTTAACTGGTGCCTTTTTTCATGAAAGATTTAAGCAAAAGTTGTGATACTAATTAAAAAGATCATAATGGTCATGTATAACATGATTACACAGCCTTCTGCTCCTCACGTTTGCCTCCTCTCCTTCAACTTAACTCTTAGGGATTTGTCACCCATAGCTGTTCCTCTGTGTCTTCTCGCAATCTTCCATGCACTTCGCTTTCCACTTCATCCATCTATCACCACCAGCAGCATACTCTCTGCTCCCTCTACTGGCCACATCAATACACTGTGGGCAGGTTCATCCTTTGACAGTGGCGACTGCATCCTCAGTGTTAGAATTGTCTTCAAAAGCGGTAGATGCCGTCTCACATGAATGAATTTTGGAGCTCTAGATTCACCTTAAATTGATTGTCACAGGAGAAAAAAAGTGGGACAAAAATAAACAGAGGGCGAAAGGCAAGGCAATAAATGACAGACACAGTGAGACGGAACAGCAGAAAAGTCAGATTAATGATATCAAAACAGACCCTTTGTTCTCTTACCTCATCCATTTGTTTATCCAGGCATAAACCCAACTGCCCAGAAAAATGTCCCCTAAGCTTTAATGCTCCAAGTGAGTAAGCAGTAATTTGTGCAGGCCAAAAAAGAAAACGATATGATCATAAAACCAACAGAAAGTCATCCACAATAGATTAAATCATGAACAACAAACCTATTCAGTGGATGTGGTGTATGTCAGGTTTACAGTGTTATATAATATCATGCTGTGGGAAAGTGTATGAGAAAAATGAATTAAGCAAGGCAGAAAAAAGGGCAAACGGAAGTTCAGTTTACACTGATTATAATGATCTGGTTTAAATTCATTTAGGTTACTATTAAACTACCTAACTATCTCAGTGTAGACTCCCTTAAACAAGCTGCTCTGAGCTGTTTGTTTTCACTAGAACCTCGTCGTGATGTTCTCATCGAGAACATTTGTTCATTTATTATTGACAAAATCTGTTTTGTCCATGAAACTTGATAATGTTTAAGTATGCTTTAAAAGTAGATGTTAACTTATTAAACTGCCACTAGCAGCAGCCATGCAGCGTGTGCACATTCCTAAAACAATTGTTCTGATCACCTGTAGTTAAACATCAGCTCAAGCCACCGGTAAACGTCATGCTGTTTCACTTGCTTCATGTTCTGAGTGCTCTCATGAACGCGGTGATTGAAGACTGAAGCCGTTTGCTTATTTTGCTGAGGTCAGGTATTTTCAAATCTGCAGCATTGCCTTTAGCTGTGGCAGTTAAAAAGCCATTGAGAGAATGAGGGGATTGGCTGCTGTCCCTGTGTCTGTTAATAAATGACCTCTTACTGGAATTAGCAACCAACCTGTGGAGAAGTGGAGGAGGGAGTGAGATTAAGAAGGTAGTGGCTGGAACAGGAAAAGCAATGGATGGATGGATGGCAGGGTGGCAGATGCCAACATTTAGCAAGTTTTAGATTTGATTTGTGCAGCCCTTTTGTCATTGTTTCAGTCCACTTCCTGTTTCTTAGAAAGGGTGGTACGACTGACTGCTAAATGCTACTCCTATTGTTAAATCTCATTCTCACACATGGTTAAAAAAATACAATATTGCTTTTTTTCTAATTTAGGGCATACATTTATACGGCACATAAAGATGGGACAAAATAGCGTGTGAGCACCTCCATTTCCACATAGTGCTGATAGGTGGGGTTAGGTTTGCGTGTGATTTGCAAAAGTTGTGCTGTTCTAATGATAGGCACAATCTGTTCATTTCAACATGGCATGCATAGTCTTCCAAGAGTCGTGCAGTTAAGCACAATTAGGCAAACTGAGAGATGATATTCAGCTGCAAGTCATTTACTAACAGGACAGGCGCTGCTCGTTAATTGTAATCAGAAAACCATATAAATGTGTATGCTAAACGTAGGCAGTGTGGCAGACAGAGTCATAAAAATAGAAACGGGGTTCAGTAACTGACAGGTGCCCAAAGTAGGACTGTGAACTGTGCTACAGTATTTTGACATCACGCTCTGTTCTTGTATTAAGACAACTTACATCTCGTCCATCTTCAGAACAAACCGTAAATGTCTGACTGACAAAGGTTCATTTCTATACTCTCAGACTGGTTGTGTTAACAGTGCCACCACAACTTTACTATGGTGGATTTGTTTAGGAAAAAAATTAAGTAAATTAAATTAAAAAAAATATGCAGGTTTGTTTTGTATCTGTGATCTATATCTCACGTTTTGAATTTGTGTAGGTCAACCACTACAAACAGCCATGTATGCACAGCTCGTGAGATCACAGTGAAAACCGTATGAGCTGTCCATGGTCCTGAAATTATAACGGTTTCCTTTAAATGCAATCTTTAAAAATGTAAAGTTATTAACGTATATGCATGGATCAGACGTGCTGATGTTCATGTATGGCCTGATTATTTTCAGGATAAGGTCCGATTTCATCATCATGATCCCCCTGTTCTCTCTTTTCTTCTGTGATTTCATTCTGAATGTCTTTGCATAGGCTGTGAAATCATGGCCCATATATGAAATAACGCAAACATTAGTGAATCAGTTTGTGACAAATACAAGAGGGTCAGAACCACCAAACCCACCAACCACAGTTTGTGTTAGCAAATCCGGTCCACGGTGTCATGTATTATGGTGCTATAGGAAAGCTTGCTTACAACTACAGGCAATGTAAAAGCTGATTTATGAGAAAGCAGCTAATAAATGAGTCCAGATATGAATTATGAGGTTTTTTCAGTGGTCAAAGGATAGTCATACAAATGCACAAAAATGCCAGCTAGTGAATGAGAATGATGCTGAGGCTGTGCGACAGCTGGGCTTCTCTTTCTTGTCATTGGTAGCTAATGTGTGGACAGTTACAGTAAGCAAATCATTTCAAAGTATCCTTGTTTGAACTAACTGAGCTTTAAAGAAGAAAGTGAAACTTTTAAGCATCAGATGTCTGCCAATGCAGTGCGCTCCTTCCCTCTATCTCACTCCTCTTCCTCAGTACATCCCCTGTCTACGCCCCCACACTTCCTCCCTCCCCCTCCTATAGGACCTACCCTGCCTTCCGCCTACGTTCAAGACAGGTTGGAAAATTCCATGCTCCTTCTCCAGCTGACTTTGTGCCAGAGCTCTCTCTCTCTCACACACACACACCTACACATTAAAGACACACAGAGCAGTCAGAACAGATACAGAATGTGTCAGCAGTTTCCAACAGCAAACATATTGTTACTGAAGTAACACATCACACACATAGATATTGGTTTAAGGTGAACATATAGTTGTCTTTATGTTTTCTGATTGTTATTTTTGCTTTCAACTGAGACGTTTTCTGTTATTTAGCCCTTAGCCTAGCATTGATGGGTAAAATAGTTGAAGTACCTTGTCAGTATAGCACAACAGAGCACAACAACACATCGTAACTGCATCTTTAAATTTCACTACAAAGCTGAATCAACACCTCTGTGAATATTCAGAATGCAAAATCGGTTTTGAGACCTGCACAAAGAGAGGATTCATTGAAGCTGCCTTGAGCAGAACTGGTTTAAGCTAGGTGTACCTAAAAAAGTGGTGAGAGTGTAAATGATAGTGTTGACTGCTTTCAGAGACGATCTCATGTATTTTGTTTCTTTCTCTGTAGTATTTTGTCGTCAGTGGGGTCTACGTTTGACCTGAGGACACTGCGAGCCGTCAGGGTGCTGCGACCCTTAAAACTGGTGTCTGGAATTCCAAGTAAGTGTTTTTGCTTCTATGCTAATTTCAGATCCTTCCATACCAACCATGTCACATTCAAGTCCAATGAATAAAATCTGAACAAATCTAAATTTTACTGCAAGTTGCAATGTTTTTTGATATTCTATATATTCTTTGTCATTACAACGTGGTTGCCAATCGAGGAGCTACTAGACAAGCTAACCTCACTGCTCTTAATTTACTGACTGACATTTAACAACATCGACCTTACATTTATCACTTAGTATCATACTGTCTACTTTATTTTTGATTTGTTCTAAAAAGCACCCAAGCTATTCCATGTCTATTATTTATTTGCGTGTCTTGCACTGAATCCTCCAGGCCTGCAGGTGGTGCTCAAGTCCATTATGAAGGCTATGATCCCCCTGCTGCAGATTGGTCTCCTCTTATTTGTGGCCATCCTCATGTTTGCAATCATCGGCCTGGAGTTTTACATGGGACAGTTCCACAAGACTTGCTATGATGATGTTACAAGTAAGTAGAAAGTGGTAAAAAACCAATGTGTGGTGAGCCTTTGTGACTTGTTCCAACAGAAAGGGTGGTGGCCCCATCCCATTTCAGGTGTACATAGGTTTTCTGTTCATTAGGAAAATAACAAATAAATAATAAAATGAATGATGGAGGCTTTGGTTTTTTGGGTCCTGGTATTTTTATGCTATCCTTGTGGCTTGTTTTAATACTTGAATAGGACAGGACCGGGTTCATAGACTCAAAATACATGATGTGTGTAACTCACTGAAAAAAGCGTGTTACTTTGTCAGAATTTGTTAGCCTCTTGAACAGATGAACACAGCCAGTCACTGCATTTTTTTTCTTTCTGACACCCAAAATGGGGGTTATTTAGTTATTTTATAGTGAAGCTGTATCTTTCTCTCTGTGATCAGATGAGACTGCAGATGACAGGCCGTGTGGTACTGCATCGCCATCCCGGCTGTGCTCCAATGGCACGCACTGTGGGGAAGGGTGGATTGGACCCAACTACGGGATCACCCAATTCGACAACATTCTGTTCGCCGTGCTCACCGTCTTCCAGTGCATCACCATGGAGGGATGGACAAACATGCTGTACCACGTATGTCTGACTAGCCACCCGAGACCCTTTTTCTTTTAACTGAACATCAGGCGATTGGGGAGAACCATCATGCTTTCACTGTGGAAAGCAGTTACCTGTACCCACTGGTTTGTGCATTGCACCAACACCAATATTTACTAATTCGTGATACCATAAATAAAATCCTCTAGGCATAATGAAAATTTGCTGAAACGTGACCATTGACTAAACCATGTTATTTGTCAGATAAATGCATTAAAACGGCTCCAATGTATTAACATAGAAGCCGGTAGAGACTGACTCACTTTTAAGCCTCTGGTCATTCAAGGAACTGCAGTTTGAGGTTTAAATTTGGTGAAAGCAGTAAAGTGATTTTTACTCTTTTTTGTATTTAGGCACACTGGACTTGCCACATTGGTTGGAGGTTAGAGTTGAGCTGAATTTCAATTATCCAAACGAAGCATAAAGTATTTAAAGATCTGATTCAAAATGCCATTTATTTGCCCAAAAGACATATCCCGTATACTCTGTCATTATCTCTTTGACTTCCTTTATCCATCATCTGTCCTTTTCCTGCTTTTGGAGCTGCTCTCTTTTTCTTCTCCTCCGCTCACTATTCTGGTCCGTCTTGCTCTATATTTAACATCTTTTCTGATGGATGAAGGCTGACTTCCACTCTCACACGAGCAGTTGGGAGGAAACCAATGAAAATTTAATAGAGGATGGACTGAGCATTGTAGCAGCAGTACAAAATCCAGTGCATAGATGCAGCCCTCCAACAGTGGATTATAATCATAGCTTATTAGCTCATAGTTTATCAAAAAGAAATACAATATCCTCCAGCAGCCGGGTTCATGTTATTGTGAGTTGAGTGAAAGAAGTAAGTCACACAGTGTCTGAGGATTACAGGGAGACCCAAAAACCTTTGGACATACTTTCTAAATGTTTCTTAGTTTTGCCTCCGTACACCACCCACAGTGGATTTTAAATTAAACAATCAGCATGTGAGTAAAGTGTTGGCTTTCATTTTAGAAAAAAGAATGAAAATAAAATGTACTCTTTAGGTATAAAGACATTTTCTATACAGTCCTCTGTTTTCAGAGGTTCAAAGGTAATGGGACAAGCAAACATTTTTAAAATATTAGTATAGTTTATAATACTCAGAAGACAATCGTTTCCACTTTACTTTCAATTGCTGCTTGTTTGTGGCTCTCGCTGCCTTCAGTTTTGATTTTAGTAACTGAAAAGCATACATTGTTGCAGTGATGCCCAAACTGCGGTGTTGAGCATTGAAGGTAGTTCAGGTACAATTTTTCTGTATGAATTTATTCATTTATATGAAAAGTGAATTATAGCTGGTAATAGGAGGGGGTTAGTTTGAGATATTACTTTGACCTGCATTTACTGTTCTTGCATCAAAGTTTTGGTAATAACACTTTGCATAAGACTGGGTTGCATTAGCAATTTATAGACAACAACCTGTGTTGTTTAGGTTTCTTGAATAAAAATTTTAAGGAAGTGCATCACTTCATCTTGTAGTTTGATTAGAGTGAAGATTTAAGATTGGGATGTTTTAAATGGGCCACAGCACTCTTGACTTTTGGAATGACTGCTGTGTTAGGTTCTATCTATGAGATACATCTAATCTATTAGATGAGATTGGGGTCAGATCAGTGATTTAACTACTGAAGAATACCCCTTTCTTTGCCTTGAGAAGCTTTAGGGTTGGTTTAGAAGTGGTCATTATCCATCTCTGTGTTTTGCAGCATCTGACTGAGTTTAAGCAAAGAGTTTAGCCTCAAATATTTCAAAATTCAATGTGCTTCTTGTATGAACAGTCACACTGGCATTGGCATTACATAAATGCCCACGCCACCATGTTTGACAGATGATGTGGTGCACTTTCTCTCATCATTCTGGTACATGTTAACCTTGATCTCATCTCTCCGAAGCATTCCACAAAAATGAACAAAGGAATCAAATCTGACAGTTGTGTGCTAGAGTGACTAAAGTGTTGAAAGGCTTATTAGAACAAACGTAGTTGACATTCTCTGCAGAAGAAAAGCAAAGGAAAGTTAAACCAACAGTGCATGACCGATGTGTGGCCGTGTGTTTCTTGCAGAGTAACGATGTAAGTGGCAGTTACTTTAATTGGATGTACTACGTCCCCCTCATCATCATCGGCTCCTTCTTCATGCTCAACCTGGTGCTGGGTGTACTCTCAGGGTAAAAGCCTGCCATTTGTCTTACAAAAACAATTGAGCTTTGTTTTTTTTCCCACAATAATTTATGTTTTGCACTTTCGTTCCATGAATAGTAAAAAAAATAAATGACAAATGTTCCCACAGTGAATTTGCCAAAGAGAGGGAGCGAGTGGAGAACAGGAGCGAGTTCCTCAAGCTGAGGAGACAGCAGCAGATTGAGAGGGAGCTCAACGGATACCTTGAGTGGATCTGTAAAGCAGGTCAGTGCGCACTCGCATTCACACCAGTGCTGACACATGCTGCTCAAGCTCCTACTAGAGAATTAAAAAAAACACACACACACACAACCAAATCCTGATATAATGCTCCAAAATCTCATTTCATTGAATTCTACAGAGGAGGTGATTCTGGCTGAGGAAGATACTACAGGGAACTTTGATGGTAACTAAACTTCATTTGCTGTGTTAATGTTTTTGTATGACAGTGAGAAAGGCACTGCCCATAGAGTATAAATAAAGGTACAGCAAATAAAAGTCTAGTACAATTTTTTTTTTTATCTTAAATGCTTTAGCGGTTTTTAGAGCTGCTCATTTAAATGTGCAAATAAATGTGGGATTTAGCGCAGTACAGCAGCAAGTGACAGATTCTGTTGGAAGGGTGAGAGAGTGACATCTGAGAGACAGACTGAAGACGAGACAATTCGTTTCTCTCTCTCTAGGTTCGAGGCGTAGGCCAACCATCAAAACCAAAAACAACAAGACAGAGCTGCTGAACCCTGAGGAAGGAGAGGACAACATTGGAGATGCAGTAGGTAAGACAAACACAGGGATGACACGCAAAGGACGAATAAGGACCAAGAACAGAGTCGTGTTTTGAATTCTACACTATCGTCATCATTGTAAAGATAGAGGAAACTGAACTGGAGATATAAATCTGTTAAATCTTAAATATAGACTCTTATGTCTCCCTTATATCCCCTTCGTCCCCGTTTTCTCCTTCTTCTTCTTAGGTTTTGCACGCTCCAGCATAAAGAGCGGTAAGGAGGGCTCCAATTACAGCAAGAAAGAGCGACGGCTGCGATTCTTCATCCGTAAGATAGTGAAGACGCAGGCTTTCTACTGGATAGTGCTCTTTCTGGTGGGCCTCAACACCATCTGTGTGGCCGTGGTGCACTACGACCAGCCTGAGATGCTCACTGACTTTCTCTGTGAGTAAAAGCCAGAGACTGTACAGAAAAGATGGATGCACTGTGATGACAAACACTTGTTTGTGGACCCCAATTTTTAAGTTTTGATACTAGATGCCCTCTGTACAAAGGTACATTCATGGATTCTATAGACACATCACACACACACAGGTCGCTGCTAATTACTGCTAGCATTTTAATAAATTAACACAGGAATTTCCCCCACTAGTTCAGTTTGCCTTTATATTTTGCTAGAGCCAGATTTTCTGATTATTTTTAAAGTGCTCTTGAGAAATAATTCAATGTTTTTCTTTGGACATTGGCTGCTTTTTCTCTTTGTTTTCAGTCTAGTGTTTTTTAAGTGACCATTTTCATGTTTTTCTGTTTGTTGAGCACCTAAGTCAAATAAACATAAGGTATGTGTTTCAAATAACACATGCCTTAGCAAAGAGCTAATTTTAAATTGTATCTGAAAGCACGTTTTTACTAGCAGCCTGTCACAAAAATACATAATTTGTTCCCATTTCTTTAATATATGAAAAAATGTCAAAGATAACAAAGTTTAACTGGCATAAAGTAGTATTTTTGTACATAAAATAGTATTTTTGTACCAACAAGGTGATTCCCAATGAGCTATTATTTTACAACTTGGGGTATCTCGGCATGGTGTGCAGTGTCCTTGAAAAATTTGAGGAAATCGGGTGAAAGTAGAAGTGCTTGAAGTAAAAAAAAAAACTCATCTATGGTAAATGAATAGTATCTGAAAGTTGTGGCAAAAGTCCAGCAAAGACTTGACACAGGACCTAAGAAATGCCCTTAAGTTGATCCATCCATTGTTTGAGGAAGCATAATCAGAAATGGTCTCAGTGGAAGGCTGTCCATCAAGACGCCATTCTTAAGGAAGAGAAACGGGAAGAGAAGGCTCAGGTATCATCATCGTTGTCGTCTTTATTTATAAAGCACTTTAAAACAACCACAGCTGCCGCAAAACGCTGTACATTGGAACTGAATAATAATAATTAGGTAAACCTAATTACACAAGAACTGGATTGAATATCAGGGCCAACAGTTCTCACAGAGTGATGAATCAAACTCTTTAGCTGAAATCACGATCAGTATGTTCAGAGGAGGTCGGGTGTTGACTTTCAAGCTCGTCTGTTTTTGGTTTATATACCCAGGTTTATGTTTACATATGCTTCAATAAATTACTGCACATATTTCCCATTTCCCTAGTAAAATACAAACAAAAGGTGGCTCAAAACATTTACTCAATATAGAATGTACTCTTGCCTTTATGCTGTGAGTCATGTAACTTAAAAAGAAAATACTACCCCAGCTCTTTATCACGTGTTATTGTGTGAGCAGCATGTTAAATGCTAATGATTAAGAATTATTACGATTAAAAACAGGAGAAATTAAAACTAGTGATTACTTCAGTATTTATACACTACTTTATATACTAATGCTGCATGTTTTATTTGGGTCACAGGAATGTCTGTTTGGCACTGATGTGCATTAACAGTACACCATGTGCAGGGACCGTTGGTGGACTACATGCAAATAAGAGTACAGGATGCAAAATGCAACACTAAGGCAAACATCTGACACTACGTGTGATGTGCTTCACTGTTTCCAGTTTAATCTCCACCGCTGCCCACTCTCACCTCGTCCCAACCTGAGTCATCTTTTTTACACTTCAGATCTGCCGTTTCCTCCTACACATGCAAACAAGCCTTTACAAATTTAACTACACCAAACAGCAGAAACAGAGTGTGTTCTCTATTTCTCAAGCGTTATCCCCATTCTGTAGTTACACGTATCCTTGATCTGCACTATCATGCTCGGAAGAGTTTTGTTTGCTGAGTTCCACTTGACACACGTTGTGTAACTCTTTAGTTTTAGTTGCTGGCTTGCTGCTGCTGATGTGACCACACACATAAATACTTACTTATACATGTGTACACACAGGCCGTGATGGAGTCAGCTTGTTGTCCCTGGCTGGTGTTCAGCTGCATTAGCATACAAAGTTGTCGTTGCTGATGAAGTCCCTTCATCACCACAATCTCATACAACACTTGCTAGTGGCTCGCACCTCTATTATCATTCACTCAACTGAGTCTTTCTCTCACTCTGTCATGCTCCCATCTGGTTTTCACTACTACCTTCTTTTTACCTGATTTTGATTTTTGTCTTTTTATCTCATTTGGTTTTTCTCTCCGTGGCCTCACTTTCTTTCGTTTTCGCCTTCCTTTCTCCACATCCTTACGTCGCCCTCTTGTTCTAACTCACATTCCTCGCCTTCTGTTTCTAACAAAATCCCTTCTCTTTGCTTCATTCGTGCCCCAAATCATTCTTTTCTCCTTTGTTCTCTCTCCAGTCTATGCAGAGTTTGTCTTCCTCGGTTTGTTCATGTCTGAGATGCTGATCAAGATGTACGGTCTGGGCATCCAGCCCTACTTCCATTCCTCATTCAACTGCTTCGACTGTGTGGTGAGTGCACAAACTCACACACTGAAACTAAGTGCAAAAAAAAAAAAAGTACTGATTATAAAATCCAACACTGCATTTAATCTCTCACTGAATTTATTAGTGTGGTGGTCTGCTTCTGTAGTAAGTTTTGTTTTTATTGGGGTTTTTTCTTATCAGTTTATTAATTCCTCAGCAAATGTGATCAGAAGCAAAGACTCTAACTCCAACACAGAGACATTTCCATTTAAATTCCAGTTTTTTGTTTTAAATTAAGCCATCTCAGGATTAAATGTTTAGTGATAGGTATTAGTAAACATGGGTGTTTTCTCTGTTTTGTGATCATTCAAAAACTAAAAGTGCAAAATGTGCCTGGTCAAATTTCTTTTAAAGTTATAACCTATGACTCCTTTTTAGCTTCAGTCTAATACTAGACTAATCTTCTTCTTATGACTTCTTCTTTATATAAGTAATGTTTACTGACAAAGCCGGTGGTCCCCTGGAAAGGACCCGACAATTCAAAGTAAAATAATAATAAAGAAAAATATGCATTTACCTCGGCTTCTTGGATAACTAAGCAGCATCCTAATAATGTCTATGGTATAAACAAGGGTTCTTGTGCCTTGGCAGAGGAAAAATTCTGTTTTCGGGGCTTCAGAGATTTTTTTTTGATAAATAAATACAAGCTTAAACTTCTAATAGCTGCTGATTGAACTCAGCATTCTGACTGTATTGAATTGTGTGTGCGTGCAGGTAATAGTCGGCAGTATCTTCGAGGTTGTGTGGGCCACCATAAAACCAGGCACGTCCTTCGGGATCAGCGTGTTACGAGCTCTGCGATTGCTCCGCATCTTTAAAGTCACAAAGTAAGTGTCTCTCGCTCTTCCTCTGACTTCTCTTAGACTTGCATGCTCTTCCATCAGTACACAAATGAGACGATGATGATAATGAAGCACATGATAAGAGGCTGAGCTTATGGTACATGTAATGAAAGAGAGTTGGATGTTTTTACTAGTGCACGTCATTCTATTTGGGACACCTGTTGGTTACTGGAGAAGCTCAGAGGTGGTAAAAACAGGAGGGTATACATGAAAAGGAGCAAAACAGCTCAGACACAATTTCATGTTAAAATTTCAAATTAACAAAATAAAGGCTGAATTTGGCTTAAAAACATGTACCTGTTCAGAGTTTACGTAAATGGTTTCGATCCTCTTCTTTATCGCTGCCCTCTTTCCTTCCTCCTCTCTCTTTTCTTCTATTGCTTACTTTTTTTGTTGTCTCATTTATCCTCATCATGTGTCCTTCTCCTTGCACACGTCCTCCTTTTCCTCAGGTACTGGGCACCACTTCGAAACCTGGTGGTTTCTCTGCTGAACTCCATGAAGTCCATCGTCAGCTTGCTGTTCCTCCTCTTCCTCTTCATCGTGGTATTTGCCTTGTTGGGGATGCAGCTGTTTGGAGGACAGTCAGTATCACCACTAACTTAAGAAGAAGCTCAACTGCCAGTATTAAATTTGAGCATCTATTTTCTTACTGTACATTTTCCTTTCTTCTCCTTAGATTTAACTTTGACGACGGAACGCCTCCTACTAACTTTGACACTTTTGCTGCAGCAATCATGACAGTGTTTCAGGTGGGGAAGAAAGCTTTGTGCCTGGTTTCTTAGAGAACGAAGCAAATATTAAAATGAGAGTAACTCGGTTTTCCAGACTCATTTCTACACTTCACATGACTGAATATTAACAAAGCCTATTGTTGTGCTGTCATCAGTCTTGTTCAGTTCTGACTGCAGGTCCAATGTTTCTGTGTTGTCTTGCAGTGATTTAGAAAGCTGTCTTTTGTTAGGAGCAGTTTTTGCTTTATTTTCTTTGAGTGACTTTGTCAGAGCTGTGTCACTCAAATGTACCAGCGGTATGTGTGTATCGGAGTGTGTAGAGGTATCTAAAGGGCTGAGGGCATTTAAAGTAACACAACTTCATGTCTAATTAGGGATATCTGATATTTGGATTGGACAGTGGTCCGATCCTTACTCGTAAAGCTTGATTGGACAATGTATGTATGGCTGATAAATTCAGCTTACTTGTTGTTTACTACAAAGCACATCAACAGCAGATTACGCATGACGGTTATCGTGGCATGGAGGAATTTCACAGCAAAGCCGCTGCAGCTTGGAGACGTTGCAGTCCAGCAACTCCCAAAACCTTTTAACTAGAAATGGTGTTCAAGTGAGTTGACGCAAAAAAACCACCAGAATACGTAAAATCTCTGTGAATATTTTGCGTGTCGTGTATTTCGTTGAACTCCAGTGCTCTAAAGGCAGCCGTGCACACCAACTGTGTAATTTTGCTGAAAGAATTTGCGACATTTCTTTTTTCTAACCAAGCTCCAGTTTTCCAGTTTTTCAGATCTGAATAAACAGATCTGACCAATCAGATTATTGCATTTCGCAATACGTGCACTTGTAGCTCAAAACGCGCAGTACTAATATAGTAAAATAATACAGTTTTTAGCTCAGACACACAACTAGATGCTGCTCTGGGTCAATCAGATCTCCGAAATTATTTCTCTGGAAATATCGAGCGAAATATGTGCAAACCATGAAGTTCTCCCAGCTGCTGTGTTCTCTTTATTATGTGATTTTTGAGGATGAATATTCCACAAAAATGCAACACTTTCAGTGCGCATATACATTACACCACAAGCTCGGATCCAAATGTTATTGGTTAGGTTATTATTACTGCTTGATTACTTATTGTTAACAGATAAGTGGTCAAGCAGTGAAGCGACTAAAGGCTTTCACAGCAAACTCACTCCTTTTATATCAGACCAATGAAACTAAAACTCTCTCGACAGATCCTGACAGGAGAAGACTGGAATGAGGTGATGTACTATGGCATTGAGTCCCAGGGTGGAGTGAAAGACAAGGGGATGATCTTCTCCATCTTCTTTATTGTCCTGACACTCTTTGGCAACTGTATCCTGCCTTCACGCTTACCTGTGCATGTACTCAAATGTACTGTATCTATATGTTCTAAGAAAAGTTATACAGATGCATATATTTTGTCATATACATAAAATTCAACTTGTTTTGCTTCTTCTGTCATTTGCTTATCTACAACATGTCGTATCTTTTTTGTCTCCACTTGCTTTTCATGAAAAACACTCAGCTTCCTGTCAGCATTTCTCCCTAACCTCTGCCACCACAGACACTCTGCTTAACGTCTTCTTGGCCATCGCTGTTGACAATCTGGCCAATGCCCAGGAGCTTACAAAGGTACAGGTCTACGTGTTATGCTATGTGTTACCCAGCTGTTGTCGTTAGCTAAAGCACTTGCAAGCATAATGATCTTCCTGACAGCTTTCACTGTGAGAATGCTTTGGGCCAGTTTATAGAAATATACACGGCTGATAAAAATTAAACAAACACTTTTTAATCAGAGTATAACATCAAGTTATACTCTGTTAAACTGATTTGGTCAGTTAAGTAGCAGAGGGAATTTTTCACCAGTTTCAGCTGCTTTGGTGTTAATAAAAACAACAGGTGCACTAGAGGGGTAGCAGTGAGACAACCCCCAAAACAGGAACGGTTTCACAGACACTGAGATTTTTTCCTCCTCATCTTTTGACGTTTTTTTTTTTCTTTTTCACTAGTTTTGCATTTGGCTACAGTCAGTGTTACTACTGGTAGCATGAGGCGATACCTGGATCCTGCAGAGGTTGCACAGATAGTCTTCCAGGATGGCACATCAATTTGTGCCACTGCCAGAACATTTCTCCCGGCATAGTCTCAAAAGCATGAAGGAGATTCCAGGAGAGCTGGACAGGGCTGTAGAAGGTCCTTAACACATGAGCAGGACCGGTATCTGCTCATTTGTGCAAGGAGGGCCAGCATGACCTCTAGCAGGTTACTGGTGTGAATGTCTCTGACCAAACAATCAAAAACAGGGTCTGGCATCCTCTAGTGGACTCTGTGCTCACCCAAAATTTAGACCAGATTACTGTTCTTCTTTAACAGGATGAAGAAGAACAGGAAGAGGCAGCCAATCAGAAGACAGCACTACAGAAGGCAAAGGAGGTGGCAGAGGTCAGCCCTCTGTCAGCTGCCAACCTGTCTATTGCTGCGTGAGTTGACACATTTACACAGATAACCCTCAAAGATGTGAGTACATTCAAAACACTGCACATAAAATCCATCATGTGGCTGCAGTGACAAAGAGGCACAATCCCACGTGCAATGTTTGTTTTTTTTTCTTCCAGGACTGTCTTTCGTAACATTTATGATTGGCAGGCATTCATTTGCACACAACACACACACACACAGTCACCATCACACTCTCACTGTTCTCTAAAACACGATAAAGCGATTGTTCTGAGAGTGAAAGGAACAGATTCAGGGCTTTGTGAAGGGAAGAAGAGCGAGAGGCGGACAGCCTGTAGAATCTTCTCCTGGCAGCAGAAACACTGACAATGGTATACATGAGAATGTTGCTCAAATAAACTCACTGCTCCTTTGGAAGCCACTAGACTTTTTAGTCGCTGTGGCTAACTGAGCCTGTGCTGAGAAGATTTGGTGCTGGTAAATTTGTGTTGGAGAGATGGTCCTCAGTCACAGGTGAAGATAATTTTTTCATAAAACTGCTCACAACATGGTCTGATTAATTTCTGAAAAAACTCCAATCTAATTTTATTTGTTGTTTTCAGTAATAATAAGGCAAGTAAGATGCATTTCTTTTATTCAAACCAGTATCAGCCAAACTGCAAAGCTCTTACCTAAACAGTCTACATGGATAAATAAGAACATACCTAAAGTCATACATATAATTGGATTTTCCCTTTAAGGATGAACCGTTTTTACATTACTGCTACTGATGTGTGGCTAAATTTCAGTGGGTTTGTCCTCAAGTGTCTAATCCTTCTTTTCCTTTTTCTTTCTCACTTACTCATTACCATCTCTTTCCCCATAACACCTCTGACAACAATACAATGACACCAATTTCCTTGCTTATTCATTCTTCAACATCTTCACTTTATCTCCACCTCGTCCTCCTGCCTTACCTGAAATCACTCACGTCTGCCTTTCTTTTATTTTACTACACCCTCTTGTGTTTCCCCTCCATCTTCGCCGTAACTAAAACTCCTTTTCTCCTGCCTAACATCCCCTAATTTCCCCCAACAGTAAGGAGCAGCAAAAGAACCACACCAAGGGAAATAAGTCGGTGTGGGAGCAGAGAACAAGTGAGATTCGCCGACAGAACCTAATGACGAGCCGCGAGGCGCTCTACAATGAGCTGGAGCAGGAAGACTGGAAGGCGGGAGTGGAGGGAGAAGAGGTGAGGTGTTTCCCCCCCTAAGAAAAAAACACATATACACATATGTATACAGTCTACTCCTGATATATATGGTAAATATTTGTTGTAATGTGTGTAAAGCAATCTGTAAACACCTTAAAGGGATATTAACACCACTTCTTTTTGAATGGATGACTCTTGGAGGACACTTGTGACACATGTATTAATATGTAACATGACATTGAAAATCATCTATTGTAAGGTCAAAAACATTGTATCAGAACGTTTGTGTCCATTGTTCTCCAAGAGTTGGAGATCCTGCTCAATTGCAAGTAATTTTAAAGCTAATCTATAATTCTGAGATTGAGTTTATCTTAACCCTCTTAGGTCCAAGTCATCATTGGTTATAACCCCAACAGCTGCTCCAAACCTTATGCATGTGTGCCTTTTTTGTCCCCTGATTACCAAGATTTTGGAAAACAGCTTAAAAAGAATTACATATTCTGATTGCATAGAGTTAGAGTTATGGTTTCCACTGATGATGACTTAGACCATAGATGGGTATTGAATGTAAAGTCTATTTAAGATCGGTAAACTTTATCTCACAGTAATATCCAATGTCCAGTCAATGTGACAGTCATTGCTTGGTGTCTTGATGCATGCTCAATCATCCAGGTAAGGAAATCCCAAAAAGTTGATTCTGTTCATCTGGACGTTGCATTTTCGTCCAGCTGAAAATGTCAAGATGAACAGGATCAACTTTTTGGGAGTCATGGCTCAGTGTTTGTCTTCTTTTCCATAATTAGATTTCATATATAAAACTAATAACTGCTGTGTATTCTGGGTCATAACGTAATCTACATGTTTTGATGCCAGAGTGTAATATCCCTTTAAGCCTGTGAAGGAGTGTTATTTTTGCAATGCTATATGGGACGGCTTGAAGCTGCGTGCTTGGGAGCAATGCAATATTAAAGTGGGGCATGCAGAGAAAGCAGTGGACTCAAAACTGGAATGGGGCAAAGTGCAAATCAGGAGTTGGCTGGATATGACTCAGCAAACTGTATGTTCACAGCTGGTTCTGTTTTAGCATTTTGTGGCTTTACAAATTAAAAAAAAAGTTTAAAAACTTGTTCACATGGAGCCAAAAATGGTGGTCTGTTTGCTGAACTGTGTATCTGTGACCCAGGGGAGGGAATGGGACCGGCACGAGTGCTGTAAATCCTACTTGTTTATTTCTGGGTTAACATATGTATATATAAAATATGATACCAAAGAAGGTTAAAATACTCCGGACTATATCTGATTTGCCAGCTTAGAAGCAATTGCTACTGCAACCCAAAATACATGAAAAGCTGATGTATTTTGCTTGGCTTGATGAGCATTTGCTTCTTTAAAACAGCAATTTAAAAGGTTTCAAGCATGCATGGATGGCAGTGTCATTGCTGTGGTTTTATTCTAGAGCAGCTGTTTTCTTTCCGTTTGCAGTATTGTTTTTTTTACTCATTATTACATGATTTACTGTCTTTTATTAATATACCATGGAAAACAACCACTAATGTTTAAATTTGCTACTTGCTACGTGAAAAAAAATTCCAAATGACAATTTAGATTTAAAAAATATACATCTTAACATAAATGATCACCTAGACAAGAGATTCATGTTTGCAAATGATAAAGAAAGATTTTAAGTCAGTCTCTAGGATTCAATTAAATTCAAGTAAATGTATTTGATTGAAATGTATTATAAGTGGTGTACTGAGACCTGCTTAGAAAAACATGATCATACATGGCTAGCTACTCCAGGGCTAACATTTGGCTGATGTTTGCATATAACCTCGTAATGTCATCTGCTACCCTGTCACCCTAACTCAGGCGTCTTACCCACGGAAAGGACGTGGTGACATGAAAACCCACTTGGACAGGCCGTTGGTGGTGAACCCACAGGACAACCGCAATAATAACACCAACAAGACCCAACCTGGAGAACTGCCACTTGACCAGGAGTACCGGCGCCAGGACATAGATCACTGCCGCCGTGCCGCCCACTGCTATCACTACGACCGCGATCACCATCAGAAACCCTTTGGGCCAGACAGCAGAGAGACAAGCCAGCTATCAGAGACCCGTATGGAGCACGGCTTCAGCTGCACATCTCTGGGTAATGTGGAGGCGAGCATAGAGGGCCGTCCAGGGGAGGAGAGGCACAGCCACCGGAGCCACCGGAGCCATCGAGGCCATCGGCACCGGAACAGGGAAGGCTGTGAAGCTCGCAGTGTTTCCCCCCACCAGAGTGAGGCAGGAGAAGGACATAATGAGAACAGGAGGGCCAGGCAGCACCGCAGGGCAGCAAGAGAAGGAGAGGAAGGCAGGCGACACCGATCCAGGGGGAAAGAAGGAGAGGGGGGGAAAATCGTGGAAGGAGAAGGGCGGAGAGCAAGACGACATCGACATGGCAACCATGATAAGAGCAAAGGGCATTGCAGAAGGTAAGGAAAGTCTCGAATTAATCCTGTCAGTCAGTATAGGTTGTTGTACTGGTGAATACAGTGGTTAGAAATGACCTAACAACCAAAATTATTGCAAACGTTTTCAATGAACTTGCTATCACTGTGCCTTTGAAGTAGTCACTTCCATCCTACATACAGTCTTAGATGGCTAATGGCTACAACCTACAGCCATTAAAGATAATATTTAAAACGCTGTCTGTAAATGGCCTGTATTTGTATAGCGCTTTACTAGTCCCTAAGGACCCCAAAGCGCTTTACACAACCAGTCATCCACCCATTCACACACTGGTGATGGCAAGCTACATTGTAGCCACAGCCACCCTGGCGCACACTGACAGAGGCGAGGCTGCCGGACACTGGCGCCACCAGTAGGCAGTGGGTGAAGTGTCTTGCCCAAGGACACAACGACCGAGCCTGTCGGAGCCGGGGCTCGAACCGGCAACCTTACGATTACAAGACAAACTGCCAACTCTTGAGCCACGATCATAAATGTCTCCTCAGTCCAGCTGTCATAACTTTATGATAGTTAAGAGTTAAAAGACCTGAGATAGAATGATTAAAGACTAGTGAGGACACCATTGATTGAAGTTCATTTGTGTTATTCACAACATTTCAAATCCATTTCAAATCTGATTGTCGAATCTAAACAATAAAAAGTATTAAGCAGCACAATTAGCCACCAAAACTTTGGTAAAGTAACATGAGTACTGTACAATTTTGTAGGTTCTAGTTAAAATCACACAATTATCACACAGCGTATACAGGGAGTGCAGAATTATTAGGCAAGTTGTATTTTTGAGGAATAATTTTATTATTGAACAACAACCATGTTCTCAATGAACCCAAAAAACTCATTAATATCAAAGCTGAATGTTTTTGGAAGTAATTTTTAGTTTGTTTTTAGTTTTAGCTATTTTAGGGGGATATCTGTGTGTGCAGGTGACTATTACTGTGCATAATTATTAGGCAACTTAACAAAAAACAAATATATACCCATTTCAATTATTTATTTTTACCAGTGAAACCAATATAACATCTCCACATTCACAAATATACATTTCTGACATTCAAAAACAAAACAAAAACAAATCAGCGACCAATATAGCCACCTTTCTTTGCAAGGACACTCAAAAGCCTGCCATCCATGGATTCTGTCAGTGTTTTGATCTGTTCACCATCAACATTGGGTGCAGCAGCAACCACAGCCTCCCAGACACTGTTCAGAGAGGTGTACTGTTTTCCCTCCTTGTAAATCTCACATTTGATGATGGACCACAGGTTCTCAATGGGGTTCAGATCAGGTGAACAAGGAGGCCATGTCATTAGTTTTTCTTCTTTTATACCCTTTCTTGCCAGCCACGCTGTGGAGTACTTGGACGCGTGTGATGGAGCATTGTCCTGCATGAAAATCATGTTTTTCTTGAAGGATGCAGACTTCTTCCTGTACCACTGCTTGAAGAAGGTGTCTTCCAGAAACTGGCAGTAGGACTGGGAGTTGAGCTTGACTCCATCCTCAACCCGAAAAGGCCCCACAAGCTCATCTTTGATGATACCAGCCCAAACCAGTACTCCACCTTGCTGGCGTCTGAGTCGGACTGGAGCTCTCTGCCCTTTACCAATCCAGCCACGGACCCATCCATCTGGCCCATCAAGACTCACTCTCATTTCATCAGTCCATAAAACCTTAGAAAAACCAGTCTTGAGATATTTCTTGGCCCAGTCTTGACGTTTCAGCTTGTGTTTCTTGTTCAGTGGTGGTCGTCTTTCAGCCTTTCTTACCTTGGCCATGTCTCTGAGTATTGCACACCTTGTGCTTTTGGGCACTCCAGTGATGTTGCAGCTCTGAAATATGGCCAAACTGGTGGCAAGTGGCATCTTGGCAGCTGCACGCTTGACTTTTCTCAGTTCATGGGCAGTTATTTTGCGCCTTGGGTTTTTCCACATGCTTCTTGCGACCCTGTTGATGTTTGAATGAAACGCTTGATTGTTCGATGATCACGCTTCAGAAGCTTTGCAATTTTGAGACTGCTGCATCCCTCTGCAAGATATCTCACTATTTTTGACTTCTCTGAACCTGTCAAGTCCTTCTTTTGACCCATTTTGCCAAAGGAAAGGACGTTGCCTAATAATTATGCACACCTGATATAGGGTGTTGATGTCATTAGACCACACCCCTTCTCATTACAGAGATGCACATCACCTAATATGCTTAACTGGTAGTAGGCTTTCGAGCCTATACAGCTTGGAGTAAGACAACATGCATGAAGAGGATGATGTGGACAAAATACTCATTTGCCTAATAATTCTGCACTCCCTATATACAGTGGTCCCTCGTTTATCACAGTAGTTACGTTCTAAAAATAACCTGCAATAAGTGAAATCCCCGAAGTAGCTTTATTTTTTACAATTATTATAGATGTTTTAAGGCTGTAAAACCCCTCACTACACACTTTATACACTTTTTTCAGACAGGCATGAACATGTTCACACTTTTCTCTCTTGTTTAAACACTCTTAACGTTCAAACCCTTGTAGAAAAACAAGTCCAGTATTATAGAATAAAACCAAAGTCACCCGCGGTTGCCTTTGACGGTGCAAAACATTTCATTGACATTGTTGTGTTTGTTGGGGAGAAAACGTACAAACATGCAGTGCAGCACTTCAGAGTCACGCTGCTAGCGATCAAAGATTTATGTAAATTTGACAAGCTGAACGCAATCTGTGCTGTACAGGAGACACGGCATGGGATTGATTGACAGTGGTCTACAGCCAATCAGGACGCAGAACACAATGAGCTGTAAAAAAAAAAAAAGCATGCAAAATTGCACAAAAAATAATCCACGAAACAGCGAGGCCTTGAGAGGTGAACCGCGTTATAGCGAGTGACCACTGTATGTAGTTAATTTATTTATTGTACACTGAAAAAAATGAAATAAAAGGTTAAAGTTACTTAGTATTTATTTTTATTTAAGTATTTATTGTCATTGTCAGAGAACAATGAAATTGTGTTTGGGGCTTCCGTACAACCCGTAAATAAAATAATGAAGAAAATAATAAATACCCCTTAAAACCCAAGTGTAAATATTTAACCCAGTGTGACTCCAGTGCAATAAGACAATCCTTAGCAACAACATGAGAACATGACAAGTAATGTTCATAAGAAATTCAGACAAAGACCTGAGAAACATGACAAAGTACAACAATGCAACCCATTCAATATTTTTGTACTGTGAGATATGATGTCAGATATGATAGTTATCTATTTAAGAAAGAGGGGGGGGCAGGGGGGGAAAGAGAATAAAGATATGATGCACCAATGCAGACCAGTTCAGTGCTATTAAGAAGTTGGATATGGTTATTGTCCGTGAGAGGGGGGCAGAGAGTTCAGGAGCCTCACAGCCTGTGGATACAGGCTGTTGGCCAGTCTGGATGTTCTGGCCTGTATAGACCTGTACCTTCTCCCTGAGGGCAGCAGGTGGAAAAGGTGGCGCGCAGGGTGATGTTGGTCCCGCAGGATACTGTGGATACTGAGCGAGAGGGGAAGATATTACTAATCTCTGGCAGACTTGTTCCAATAATTCTGCCAGCTTCTTTCACCACCCGCTGGAGTGCTTGCTGATCGGCCTTGGTGCAGCTGGGGAACCACACTAGAAATCCATACGTCAGAACGCTGCTGATGGCACAGTTGTAGAAGTTCAACATCAGAGATCTGGGAATGTGTGCGCTCCGCAGTCTCCTCAGGTAGTAGAGGCGCTGTTGGGCCTTCCGTGCAACTGAGGTGATATGGTTGCCCCAGGACAGGTCCTCGGTCACAGTTACCCCCAAGAATTTAAAACTGCTCACCCTCTCCACCGCCTCACTGCCAATGAAGAGAGGCAGATGGTTGTTATGACCCTTCCTCCGGAAATCTACAATGATCTCCTTGGTCTTTTTGGTGTTTAAGACCAAGTTATTGTCGTGGCACCATGACTCTAGTTGTTGCACCTCTGTCCTGTAGTTTGTCTCATCGTTGTTGGATATAAGTCCGAGCACTGTAGTGTCATCGGCAAACTTAACAATGAAATTGGACGCGCAAGAGGAAATACAGTCATGGGTGAAGAGAGTGTATAGCAGAATATGAATATGGTAGCACACTTCAGTTTGATGATCTTTAATCAGTTATGTAACTAAAACTTATAAAAGTGGTCAATTAGTTTAACTCACCTGGTCATTTTGTTCAGTATGACTTTAGTGATTTGATCTATTCAACAGCCTGCAGTCCTGTTCATATTATATACAAAACGTAATGCAAAATGAAAGAAGACATTCATTTGTTTTAATAGATTTACTGTTCAGTAATGTAATTCCCGGAACAAGTAAAAGTACAAATGTGTTCACGCTAGATGTCCTTCTTAATATTTTTACCCAGCTCTTTGGGACTGATTTTAGTTGTGGGTTAAATGAGAGAGCAATTAGTAGAATCAAACACCAGAAAGGTAGAATTTACTGCATGAAGTCCAAGTTGCTGTTTTGCTATGAGGGTCCCTGGTGCCAAAAAGCTGACTCAAAGTGCTGAGAGGTCATCGTCTGTCAATGTTGTAACATCCTCCATGAACATGGTTTAGGACAGATGAGGGTGTGACCTCATCTCCCAGAGCTAGTTGTCATTCACTAACAAACAGATCCATTTAAAATCTGAAATTCAACCAAATTGTTCACTGATTAAATCTACTGCACACTTAGTTGATCAGGGCTCCATTTCATCGCAGTGTTCCTTAACATTCTTCATATATCTGCGTTGCACATTTTAAGACAGTGAACATCTAGGCTAAATGTCCTTGAACAGTGCAAAGCTATAAATGCAAATTGCAGTGTCTTTGTAACCAATCAGATAGCTCCTTACATTGCTCCACATGGCTAATTTGTATTGCATTGTCTACAAGGATCAAAGGAGTTAGGGAAATTTTAAGTGAAATAGCTAATACAATAGTTAATCTATTAGCTAATTTCACAGCTAATTCCATAGTTACTCCCATTGCTAATTTTGTAGGTAATCCCAAAGAAAGCAGGAAAAGGAAATGCAATGAAATAATAGAATGGAAAAGAAATGAAAAGGCCATTTTAATTAAATGTTAGTTCTGAATTTAGAATTTTGTAAAGACTGTTTATTGAGAGTTTAAGACTTTTAAATTAAAACTACCAGGCTATGTATTACAACCATATAAAGACACATATCAAGTGCATCATAGGATATTGGCCTTGGTAGAGAATCTGCCCTTCTGTGTGCTCTGCGTTGCTCTTGTGACATCTCCCCCATCTCTTTTTCCTTCATCAGGGAACACCACAGTACTGGACCAAGCCTCTCTACCACCCGTCCTATACAGCAGTATAATGAGGACCTGGACAACTTCCGCAACAACAGCAAGCTGGCCAATGCCCACGAGCACCCTTACGCCCTACCACCAGATCACCCTGACCATCCTGACCATGTCAATAACCTGCTCAACTGCCGCGATGCTGATACCCACACGCTGCTTCACAGCATGGACAGCTTGATTCTCACTAGCATGGTTAAACCTGACTACACAGCCATAGAAATGCCCCCTGTCTACCCTTACCCCTCGACCAACGCCATCTTACAAGGTGAATCTTGGAGGCTCGTATGACTATAAAACTAAAGATGGCTTTTTGGGGTCTATAATTTGTTTGATAGGCATCTTCTAGTTTAGACAGAGAGACATTAATGCAGTACAAACTGTACTTCTGACTGGTTGTACTGACTTTAACGTTAGAAGACTCTTCGAGAAACACGTCAAAGATACTTTCAAAAATGTATAAAAGAGTGTGTTTTTTTTTTAAGGGTCAGATTGCAAAAACATTATACTCTAAAATATTATTTATTTCTGATGCCATTATACCTTCATGGTATTTCAGAGTATTTTTCAACAATAAAATGTAGTGCTAATGCAACGAGAGCTAACGCAGTAACGAAAAACCTTTCTGGCAGGTACCCAACTATAATAATATGCACTCCTTACGCTCCAATAATGCCTGATAATTTCTGCTGCAGCAGCTACCTGCGCTTACTGAAAGGACATAGGATTGTGGACAATGTGGTCAATAAACTGCATTTGTATACACTTAGATATGGCAATAGACGAATGTCTGGCCTCCACCTTTTTTTATTAATACTAAACTGCATGGCTGCAGTTTTATTTTTACCTTAAACCAAACGTTCACAGTCACCATTGCTTCCAGACTGCTGCCTGTTCAACCAATAAAGAGCGCCCTCCAGTGGTCCCTCATGAGCAGTTCACTACAATACTGCACCCCAGTCTAACTTTTTTTATCAGTTTAATTTATTTTTAAAACATGTTTTTGACTGTACTATAATACTGTGCATAATATCACTGCAGTGACACCTAAATTAAAATTGTTGGCTTTCCTCTTGAACTTAACAACAGTGCAATATCAGTCTTTATGTGTCAAACGTTGTCTCTTTGTGTTTGTCGATTCTGAGTTCTCCCTGTTTTCTTTGCTGGATTTTCTTAGTGAACAAGAACGCCAACACCGACCAGAAGAAAAGTGAGGAGAAGAAAGAGGAGGAGAGCGAGGGCGGAGATGAAGATGGCCCCAAACCCATGCCTCCTTATAGCTCTTGCTTCATATTGTCCACCACTAACCCGTGAGTATATACTCTGTGTGTGTGTCTGTGTTTATACACAAACACAAGCTCCAAGCTTTGTACCATGCTGTTTTCTAGAATATGGAAAAGTTATTGTAAAGGAAAGTTTTTCTTTACAGCCTAAGACATATTTCATATTTAATGTGTTGTGGGGTTTTTTGTTTATTATTTCTTAACATGCACACGCGTCTGTGTGTCTGCGCCAGGTTTCGGAAGTGCTGTCACTATATCCTGACTCTGAAGTATTTTGAGTTCACCATCCTTTCTGTCATCGCTATGAGCAGCATCGCTCTTGCTGCAGAGGACCCTGTCAACCCTAAGTCACCGCAAAACGATGTGAGACACGACTATGTGTTTGTGTTTTTCTGTCAGCATCGTTCTTCTTTTTTGATGGGATGTGTACAACAGATATAAAAATGAATATTTTGAGAACTTTTAGCAAGATCTGGGAATAGTATATGGTTTTAAAGTAAAGTTATTAGTTGTTAATAAATCCTGTCAGTGAAGAGGTCAGCAGTGGTGATATAAATAGCTTGTGCTAGGGCTAGAAGGATTTGGCTACAGCTAAATTGTTCATAATACATATTAATCATAGGTATCACATCATCCTAATTAATATTTCCTTTTTACATACCTATTGATAACACCCACATGTGATAACAAGGAGTGATTGCAAGGCAGATATTTTGCAGTTTTGCAACCGACAGTTCATATCCGGCACACAAGATTTCCTGTTCCATCGATGGATTTCCTTGCATCCAACCAAAGCTTACTCAAACAGGATTGGTCGGTAGCAATGCAAACCAGAAAGCTTCTATTACCAATGTAGGCCCTTGGCTATAGATCACATGCAAATATCTCTTTGCGGATTCTGTTCATCAACCCAGGTTTCCCCAACCTTATAAACAGTACGTTTGCATAATGACTGAAACTAACACCACCAACAAAAAATAAGCTGTGGGGTCAATTTCTTGATCATTAACCATGATGATTCTTGATCATCGTCACTGGTGCTCGTCTTAGTCATTATGTAAATGGAGGGTTGGGAAAACCTGCCATCAGCTGAGACTGAAGAAGTCACCTCCCACTGAAAATGCTACATCACGATGAACAGAATCAACTTTTTGGGATTTCCATAAAGACGTATTTCCTTACCTGGATGACTGATCATGCATCAACACATGTCTTTATGGAGATTGGATATTTAGTAGCTTTTTTTTCTCTGTTATTACATTAAATCAAGATTTAGAGAATGTGGAGGATAGGTTAACACCGCAAAGAAATATTATGACAAAAGAGAAGAAATTATGAATAATCTCACTCACGGCAAGTGGATTTTGTGATTGAGCTGTTTGAAAATGGAAACCTAAAATAGGTTTAGAACTAGGATCATTGTCTTTCTAGTGTGTACTTTTTTTTCTTTGCTAATCTCTCCTCCGTTTGTCGCATCTTTTCTCACTCTGATTCATCTGCTCTCTCTAATATGTTAATTTATCTCATGGTGTTGTGTCCCTCCGCAGGTGCTGCGTAATTTTGACTACGTTTTCACAGCAGTCTTCACATTTGAAATGTTGATCAAGGTAACAAAGTATCACAGTGCGACTGTGTGTGACTCTCTACTTTGAGCCCTTTTTTGTGCAGTTGTATGAGGCGTCCTCTGTTTGTGTGTGTGTTTCTGTATTTGTTAAGGCCAGCGTGCTTTAGAGGGTAAAGTCAGTGTCCCTGTGTATGTGTGTATATGAGTATATATCATGCTGAGCACACTCCTTGTCTTCCAGATGGTGGTGCTGGGCTTGTTTCTCCACGAGGGATCCTACTTCCGTGACTTGTGGAACATTCTGGACTTTATAGTGGTTAGTGGTGCTCTGGTGGCCTTCGCCTTCACGTAAGTTCCCCTCCCCATCCTCCTCTTCATCTACTCCACTATCCTTCCACACCCACACACACATTTAACCATTGACAGAAAGACCTTTGTCAGTCAGCCGTGTACGTCCAATACACTAGGCGAGGCCCGGCTTCCACCCTCCTGTTGTCTCAGTCTGCTCTGCGTCAGAGCTCATCATCCCCTCTTGTCTAGTATCCCCTTCGCTCTGTTCCCGTTTCTGCTTCTGTCCATCTTTTTTCCCAGTCTTTTCTGTTTTCTGTAGGCTGACTCCTTTCCATTTTCATCTCTATTTCTGTATTGGCCGCCATCACATGTGTCATCATATCAGCAGGTCTTTCTCGATGTTCAGTCGCCACCTTCATCTCGACAACTGACGGCGATCCATAACTAAAATGTATCCCTGATATTTCACACTTAAAAGATCATCACCATCTTTTATTTAAAGAGGCTTTTTGTTATACTGTCATCTTCATTTCAACCACTGTAAGAGTTTCCCAAATCATTTCCCACACAACTGTCTATAAGCTATAAAGTGCAACCTGCTCCTTATCAACATTTTCTCCTCCCAAATCTTCCTTGCTCCCGATCCCTTTTTTCCCTGTTTGCCAATCCATGCCACTCTGATTTCCTTCTAACCAGGCCGTGAGTCATCTCTTTCGTCCTTCCTTCCCTTTTCTTGCATCTCAGTCCCTGACTTAGATCCCCCAAGCCCTGCTTACCAACACTCCCCCCAGGTCCTCTTCAGCCCATGTCCCTGCTGATGCCTTCTCGTCAAACACCTTTCAACTCCCTCTCTCATATCAGCACCTCCCCCTCTCTATATTCACCTACCCGTTTTCTCAGTGTCATCGCCTACACCTCTGTTGTTCCTAACATATGGCAGAGAGAGTAACCTAGCAAGGGAGTGCTGTACTGCTCTCTATGATCTTAGTTGGCCTCTCCGTACTGAACCACAGCCCCTGGGTGTATGCCATGAGAACTCCCACAGGAAAAGTTGGGAGATCATCAAAATTAGTAAGATTCATCCTCTGTCGGCCATGAGTGTCAGTTTTTGAGATATCTAAGGGTGGACTACAGAGGAACATTATTAGGAACTAAGTAATAATACTAGAATGTGCTATATATTTAAAATACATTTGGCACAAAGATACAGTGGAAGAAATGTAAGAAAATCTGATGGTACTCAATTTAGAAATGAACACCATCAGATTAAATGCAGATTTATTCAACGTTGTTGAAACAGTGCAAAGTTGCTCGCCGTATGGTTCACATCTGGCTGTAGAGTACTCCTGCTTTGAATTTTCATGCTGTATGTTAAGAAGAGGCGTTGCCCATTGCTCCCTAATTTACCATTAATCCCACAAACCACAACCTCCAATCTTTGTTGAGTACAACTCCTATTATCCGCTCCTGATTATTCAGATTCCACCAAATGCACCATTCAAGCTTCCACTCTCCAAAACCCATTGTATCCAACATCCTCCACCTCGTCATTCTTCCCCATGCCCCTGTCCGGAGGTCAAAATTAGTCATTCCGTGGGGGTGAGGGCGCCCCAGACACCTTTAACCCTTTAATTGCCCAGGCTCTACATCCGCCACTTGGAAGAACACTTGTCCCAGGAAGGACTCATCTCCTCAGCGTCCCTCCTTACTTCTCTTTTGCCAGCACACACTCAAATGTACACACATACTCCTCCACCATTCTGACCATGTTAATGAAACTGGAGGCACAGGTATTTAACTCTCCTTTTTCTGCACGACCCAGGAAAGTACATGGGAGGGTAATAAGCAAGGCATGCTGGGGCAGGGTGTAGTGGATGGAATGATTTAGTAGACGTTATTGCGATGGATACAGCTGAAGGGATCATTTGTGTGTTTGTGTTTGGTAGAAAATAAAAACATGCATTCTCCTCAGCTCTCTGGATGCCTATTGCATGTCTTACTTAGTGTCTACATGAACACTTGCTGTGATGGACAGTAGACAGCATCACTAAGAGCTATGTTCATGATGTTTTAAGCAAAGGATTATCTCCTAAATATGGCATCTGTATCTGAGCAAATAGCTACTGTAAGGGAGTGTTCAGATTAAATATGAAGCGTGTTTTAGAGACAGCACCACTGCATGAAAACTTAAGGGGTAAGAAATCGGAATGTGACGTGAAGTGAAGCTTCTTGTTTTTCTTATTTTATTTTTTTTTTAGAAAATCACAACAGCAATCCAACCATTTATTTTTGTTATGAAGAACATTTTTTAAAACAGGTTATATGAAGAAAAACAATAACGTAAGGAGAAAAGAACATTTACTCATTTCTTTACTGCAGAGGTACCGAAAATAGTATCAAGTATTAAACTGGGATTGGTATTAAATCAGCATCCTGACAACCATAAAATGATACTTGATGAGAGTACTAAAGCTTTTTTGTTTTATCAAATTATTATTTTGTGGATTTAGGTCATCGATACAGATTACACAGATTAGACAGATCGAGCGCATTGTTAGATTAAATCAAATGCTAGCTGTTACCATATCCTTCGATTCTTTGATTAATTCTTGACACTTAATCACATTTGATCTTAATGCCACAACTTGTGACACTTTGTACTGAGTCCAAAGACACAGAGTATACCAAATTATATTCGTGATATAAGGCCAGAAAGTGGAATTCTCACCCAATGTGAACAATTACTTGCTTCTTTTCTAAATCATCACAAAATCAGCTCAGCTCAACTATGTACAATCATTCATACATATCAATCAGCCACAAAATGTAACGAACTAATAGGTGAAGTGAATAAGGTAGGAAAGAACTGCCCAGAAGTGTGTCTGTAAGAAGCCAGAAGCACTGATCTGGCTTCCAAATTCCCAACAAACCAACAAAAGATCCATAGCTAACAAACATCCCAGGCTCCCCGAAGTCCCGTATCCTTCCCTTATTTTAGGAGGACAAAGAAAGGGCAACATAGTATTAGTTATGGTGTAGCTGAAGGGTGAATGAACACATATGCGCTGGTCAGTATTTGAGTAGATGTTAGCTGACCAGGGAAGCTGCAGATGCAGGCAAATACAGCATAGAGAAAATAGGGTATCAAATTATAAGGCGATACTCTACAAATTGAACTTGTCACACTGTTGGTGAAGCACTGCAGATAATATTAATAGTAATAAAAATAGTAACTTTTTTATACCTAATTGATTATAAGGTCTTAATTGGTTTTACCTTTAAAAGCACCAATCCAGCACCACCTATGGTAAATGGCCTGTATTTGTATAGCGCTTTACTAGTCCCCAAGGACCCCAAAGCACTTTACACATGCAGTCATCCACCCATTCACACACCCATTCACACACTTATAGTACCCGGGTTTTAGATTATTTTGGTTAGGCAAGGAAAATGTCAAACACACACAAGTATAAATAGCAAAATATATAAATAGTAAAAGGTGACAATTTTCCACCACTTTAGAAAGAAACACAAACAATTGTTTCAGATGGATGATAAATTTGTAATGGCAAGTTAAAAATCAGTCCACTGCTGCACCCTCCCCAGCATGACTCGCCACTGAAAAGAAGATGCCTCCTGCCCCCCTGCACTGGTGTTCCTCCCCTCTCCTCTCCCCTTATTTACTTCTTGAATCACCCTTCCCGTTTCTCTTTAGGATGCTCTCGCACCATTTCCCCTCACACCTTCGCCTCCTCTCTCCGCCCTCTTTGTAGTTTTCTCCTTTGCCTCCCCAATCCTACCATCCGCTTCAGGGCTGAGCTACCAGACATTTTTACTTAAGGGGGCGAAGGCTTCACTCCCACCTGTGTAATTCCACTTTGACGCATGACATTCTTTAAAAGCAGGTACATCACAGAACCATTGTACAGAGGGTTTTTTAGCATGGTCGCAGTACAATGGCTTCGTATTTTTATGGGTTTTGAACACAACAACCACGCTTTTGGCACCTTTCATTCTCCAAAATAAATGCTGAATGATACAGTGTCATTAGTGAAATTTGCATGCACTCACAGTACACTGTGAAAGTGTCTTTCCTCTCCCGTTGACGGTGTGTGTGTATGGGAAAGTGCACACAAATCCTGGTTTCTTGAGTGTCCGCTTGTGATGGATGTCCTGTGTATATATCTATGCGCTCTAACGTGTCAAGAAAACCTGGAACCGGCCACTTGGAAAGATTTAACGCCTTTCTCTTCTCCTGTGTAGATGTGCATGCAAAGCAAGCTTTGATAAAATCCCGCTAGATTTGATTGCAGATCTAATGAGGGCAATTTGTGCTGTAGGCCTGGTCTAATTGATCATTATGGTGTGATAAGATAAGAATTGGTGTAAATGGATGCAGCAATTGAGTTTCCTCCTCCAGCCGTGAAGGTAATTCTTCATAGAGATGGTAGCACAGCAGGCCGCAGCAAAAGACAGCCAGGAGGGAGGGAAGATTTGCACGTCTAGAGTCTCAGCAGGGGGCCTGATTCACAGAAGTGCTCTTATTATAACTGCAGAGCTCAATAAGGTACCTGAGAGTAAAGCAGCGCTGATGGAATAAAAGGTACATTGCTGCAACGTAAGGAGGCACGAAGAGGCTCAACAAAACTATATTATTATATTTTATTTTAAAGTGTAAATCTTTTACATTATATGTCATGTTACAGAATCTACTCTAAAGAGTTGTAGTGTTATTTAATAAATTACACAGCCCCCGTTTTTATTGCATTCGATTGATTTGAGCCAAAATGTTCTAAAAAATATAAAAGCATTACATTATGTGCTTATATTATATTAGCATAATATATTACTATGATCCCAGACTGCTTCGATGAAGTCGATGTCTGAATTCAGATTTATGACTCCATAAGATGTGTCGCCGCTGATTTTCAGTCCAGTTCTTGTGTAATTTAGCACACCTCAGCATTTTCTCCCTGTTTCCATGTCAAACTGTGTTATCTTTGGCTTTTTTAGTAGCTTCAGCTACAGAAATGTGAACAAATGATTTTAAAATTGTGTAGCCACAACACTGGTTTATTCCTTGAGTTAGGTGCTGTTTTTATCTGTGAATAACTCACAGTCAGTGTTAAGTGGTTTTACAAAGAAACAACACAAACCCCAAAACGTTCCTCTGAGAAAGCTCAGGTACAAGGACTGGACTTAAAATTGAGTATTAAAAAAGGAGCCGATGTTAAATAAAAACTTTATGAAATCTGCAGAAAGCCTGGAAAGGTATTTCTTAAGACCACTTGATAAACAGTTAAGTATAAAATGTGAGGTTGTTCATGTGTGTTACCATGAATCATTTATCATTTTTAAGGGAATATCTACATAAAGCGATACAGCCCATTTTAAAAGACTCATTCCAGCACTGTTCCAGTGTGTTCCCTGGACAAAAACATAGCTCAGGAAGCTCAGAAAAGGAGCTCAGTTAAACAGAAAATATTAAGCTAAATCAAGTAAAGCAGCTTAAGGATAAATATCAGTACAATCCTTTCAAAGGAACCGATGATTAGAAATCATTTTCCAGTTTGGTCAGCACTGAAAACTGTTGTGCTGATCTAAAAAGAAAAAGAAAAAGAACACTTGCTAGTTGGTTTGGAGAATATGTGTTTAATTATTGTCTCAAAATGACAAAATATGAAAGTATTATTTTTTCAAAGGAATGAACGGTATCATGTGACAGCCTGTAGTGCGTCCTTCACAGAACACCACCAGTTTTTCTCAAAGGAGTCGTACACCCTGTTGCAAACTTTCTTTTTAAATCTTTTTTTAAACTAGAAATTGTTTTTTTTTCAAGGTGAAAATTTAAGACTGTAATTAAGCCAACATTGCCTAATGCTACAGAGCCCCAACGAGCCAAATGTAAAGTGGTTTTTGGCTCAATAAATATTCAGATCAATAATCATTTTAATATAATAAGCTTACATTAGGGTTGGACACATGGATAAGAAAATAGATGGATGGAATTTGCATTAGGTAATGCGATGTGTTGCTGGAAAAACAGAGTGGTGGTTACTGAAAATGGGCTTCTGTGTACCTATGTACATATTCCATTAAGAATCATAAGTAATATATGATTAGTGATTCCTTTAGTCATTAAGTATAGTGTATTTCTGATAAGTTACACTAAACTTTTGAGTGATATTCTAGCTGACAGGTATTTCGGTATCCCACTCAGTGTTTTTTATGGAGACGAGGTGGGCATGGAAAGGAATAATCTGTGTGCATGCGTGTGTGTGTTGATGGGTGGAGGGTGTGTATTTGTAATCGGGTATGCAGGTATGCCCATCTTGCTGTCCTTTTTTGTCTGTCTCTCATGTGAATGTATTTTTTCCTGTTTCTACCAAACCCCCTCTCTCTTGTGTCTGTCTTTGTTGGCCTCTTTGTGTATGTGTGTGTATCTGTGTGTGCGCGTGTGCTTGTGTCTTTCTATGTCTTTTTTCCCTTCCCTCCCCCTCTTCCTTTCTTTCTCGTCTTCTTTCTCGGTCTTTCTTTCTGTCGCTGTCCCTGACTCTTGCTGTCTCCATCTTCGGGGAAACTCAACAGGAGCGTCAGCGGGTAAAGTCCTTCCTCTGCCCTGCTCTATCCTGCTGTCTTCTTTTCTCCATCACCGGGTCAAATTGGCTTCTCTCTCTTTCTTTCTTTACTGTTCTTGTCATCCATACTCATTCTCGCCGTATCATTTCCACTTGTTCTCGTTTCCACCGCTGTGTCCACAAACCACAGGAAACCATCTAAACACCTCAGTAGATTTGACTTAAAGGCTTTGATTTGTAATAATACCTTGTTTAATGAACGCACAACTTAAAATTACCAGAACAATAGTATCAAAGTGACACCCCACCCCCACTGTCGTTTTGTAAGCTCTTTCTAAAGGAGGCTATAAACCTTTTCTGCGCGTGTGTCCCTCCCTGTTATTGGCCTGTATTCTAACCTAATTTCCTAGAATTTATGTTTTTGTTTTGGCTAAATTGCAACAGCAAATGTTCTTTGTTTTTTTTACCTTAGACATAGCCATCATGCTGTCATCCGTAGCGTTTTGAATTTGCACTTTGAAGCCTTGCTATGTCTTTCTCCAAAATCTTGTTTTTCAGTCCCAGAAGTGACCAAATTTAGACAAAAGCATGGAGTGTAATTCTATTAAATAAGGCTATGAAATTTTCATTACAAGGTACATCTACAAACCATGTGACAGGAATGTCAAACTCATTTTACATCATGGGCCACATGGAGCCCGCTTTCATCTCAAGTAGACCGGACTGATGAAACTCTTCCTGTTAGTGTAAATAAGTTGAATCCCTAAGATATCTTAATATAAAAAACTAAGTGCATGGCTCTTTGGGCTTAAATTGTAAGAAATAAATGTGCAAAATCACATAAAAACCTCTGGTGGCTCATTGGCCAGACTGTTCTGTAATTATAAATCAGAAAGCTTTTTGTTAATTCACAGAAAATAGCCTTTTTTTAACTGTGGAAACATATAAAAATAATATATAAAACTTAACTTTCTATACTAGTGAAAAAAATGGATGTGTATCCTAGAAACACTGATACCTGCTGGAATTTCATCCAAAACAAATTTTTGGTGCAATCATAAATACTCAGCTCAACAGTTAGACATTTTAGCACGCAACTCACTTTAGGAGCCAGCCCCAAGTGGTGGGTTAAGGAAATGCAGAGCCTAACCAGTAAATTAAATCTATAAAAGATGCATGTAGCTACAATTACACCGGCCATTGTTTTGAAGCCTCAAGATGAGCGTTTTTGCCATCAGCAGGAAAGCCTGTAGAGCGATCAGTAGTCCTTCTGTAGGACTAGAGAGTCCCAGATATATCTGGGACTCTCCACCATTTGACCATTTGACCATTGACCATTGACCATTTGACGCTTTTCTTTGCAAGCTCCTTTGACGACTAGAAGTCTTTTGCGTCCTGGTGGCCTTCAGATTAAATGTCACATTGGCTTTTTTTTTTTGCACCTGATCGAGGCAAAGTCATGTGGTTTTGCAAAATTTGCAACTCCCACGGGAAAACTTATTGTTCTACACCTTACAAACACCGCTACAAAGCTTCTGAGCAAGTGCATTCTGTGGCTGTTACACATCTGGTGGTCAGGAAAACCCATTGTGTTGAGTCTGGTATCTTTTGTTTTGTCACCCAGAAAATGTAGAATATTTGCAAGACTCTACTGGTGTGGTTGTGTTGCTACACAGATGAAGGTGAAATACAGGCTATTACTATAGATGTGCCTTTGGGCTAAATTAGGCAACTTTCTATCAATAGATAATGTCATAGATAATCCCACATTGAAATGCAAGACAAAGTATTTTGTGATATTTTTACATGAGAGTCGTCGGCCTCAAGAAGAGACTTTATAGTCCTTCACAGATCACAGGTGTTTAACTATATTTAACTTTATTCCGCTTTTTAACGAGCTCCCCTTTCTGTCATACATCATTTTACTTGGCAGAATACCAAAAACATTTAATCATATGTCAGTCATTAAACTAAAAGGACTGCTGCCTTTGCTATTATGCTAGTGTGCATGTGTGAGATCTTGTGCGTGTCTGTATGTGCAGGGATATTGTTAATTCCCAACACCTTTGGCCTTACTTGGCTTTACTCTAATACTCTAAGCTGCCTGGAGTCAACTTCAAAGGGGAATTCCTATTGATTATCGATTTAGTCCCACTCTCTCACACACACACGCACCAACACAAACCCTGTTGTGCAGACACGAAGAACTGCCAAGGCTCCGACTCAGTCAATCAGCAAAGAATTGAATTGTCTTATGTTTTCTGTCACAGGAACTGAGTTCATAGTTAAAGAGCTCCTTCTTGATGGACAACCTCTTTTCTGCACTGGCTTTGGCAAGCCTCCAGTGCCTCCGGCCTCTGGTTTTTGTCACCCAAAGTGGCCCATCCACTTACTGTTAAGATCAACTGAGCTATTTAGTTCCTTGGCACCTCAATTTTTTCTTCACTGATATTGGTATATGGGTACACAAATCACAAATAAATGTTTAGCTATAGATTTCAGGCATGAACAAGCATTTAAAAACACAGAGAACGCTTGACTTTCAGCCCAAGATAATTTCCTCTGGTCACTTTCATGGCTCATTTAACACTCCTGGTGTTTGCTTGTGTTACAACATGTGATATTGTGTTCTGCTAGCAACGTCACATGTCCAAAGTGTCTCACATAGCCTCTGTCTACTGCCCTCGTCTCTTTCAAGAAATCCAAAACGTGACAGCTGATTTTAACAAAAACGAAGCTATGTGAAACGTATCAGAGACACGTCCATTAAACTTTAACAAATTCAGGATTATATCAAAAATAATCCTAGCCATGTAATACTTAAAGTTCACGTTTCATGCTGCCAAATCGAAACATCCATTTCTCCTGGAGAACCTAACAGCGCATGACTGAAAAAGAAAGAAAGAGGTTTGGCTGGGCACTCTGCCGGGAGATGCCTGTCAGTATGGAATGAGTGAATGTCTTGTTGTGTGATAGTGAAGATTTTAAGAAAAGGTCGCGATGCTTCTCGATGTCCATGAAACCAAACGGTCAGACAACCGAACACGTTCTCTCCCACCGGTTTCATGTTTGACGTGCAGTTCAAAGTTTCTCTTTTCCTGCAGAAGAAGCGACTGTCCGCACAAATGTTATGTGTATGATTTTTATACAAGGCCGTATCATATGTTTTTGTTTTAGTTTTCCACACAGAAGTTATGTTTAAAAGATAAATTAAAGTTAATGAAAATGTCCCTCACCCCACCTCATCCCTTTATCAAATATAATTGTTGAATAATTTCAAAGGGTTTGGTAAGAGCTCTTTGTTTCATCCCATCAGTTCTCCACTTGGTGCTGAGATGTTTTTCTAACGTTGTGTTTTTTTTGTCATTCCTTGGATCAACTCTAGGGGGAATAACAAAAGTAAAGACATCAGTACAATCAAATCCCTTCGTGTGCTGAGGGTGCTGCGACCTCTTAAGACCATCAAACGTCTCCCCAAGTTAAAGGTAGAGCCATTTGCCCATCACTTTTATTTTCCCAGGTAACATTATACTCACTGAATACTCACTGAATTCCTCGACTGTGACAAAATTGCTGAAAATGTGTCCAAAAGAGGGAAAAACAACATCTGTCTGGGGATCATAATCCTACAGGTTGTAAACTAGCTGAAATGTGTTACCCCAAAGTGCAAAAACACTGTGATGATTTACAGACTTCCTGGTTTTAATTAACTATAGTTAATCACCCTTAACCGTGGGGCACATGGCTCCCCTGAGCCCGGTTCTTGTTAAAAGGGACTTTCTCCTTCCCACAGTTGCCATGTACAGTTGCTCAGACGGGGTCATTTGATTGTTGGAAATTTCTGTCTATTACTGTATCATCTTTATCTTACAATATAAAACCACTTCAAAACTGTTGTTTTGATTTGGCGCTATATAAATACAAACAAATTTAATTACATTTTAAAAATCTTTTCTAAAAGTTGTCTCTGCCATCTCCTAAGAATTTTCAGACGGCTTCATTACATTTGTAAATGTCTCCATCTCTGCCCTGCAGGCTGTCTTCGACTGCGTGGTCAACTCTCTGAAGAATGTGTTGAACATCCTGATTGTCTACATGCTCTTTATGTTCATCTTTGCTGTGGTGGCCGTTCAGCTCTTCAAAGGTCACTTCTTCCATTGCACAGATGAATCCAAGGAGTTTGAGCGCGACTGCAGGTGGGTTCAGATGTTCTCTGGGGAGGCGGTCTTTGGTTACCAAGAAATAAATGTTACAGTCTGAAGGAAATTGCCGTCCCGGGTTTCCTCCGTGGCGTGAGCGATAAGCAGAGTTTTGTCCTTTCCTTCTAAGATTCCTAATTATTTAAAGTAACACTCAGGTATGCCGTTCAGCTGGGTTAGTTACAGCGCCGGGAGCAGCTTGGGAGAACAAGGAAACACAGACTGCTTCAGGTTGCCTTCCCAAATCAACTCAAAGGTTTATTTGATACACAGCAGTTTATATAGATGAAAAAAGGTTCGTGTGTCAGCTTTCCCAGTTCAAACCGGTACAGACCAAATAAGGAAACGTCTTCCTGCCTTCTGAGCAAAGTATCCCTTGTGTAGTTTATCAGTTCAGCTACAATTTATGATCATCCCAGCAAAATACACTCCTAGACATAGAATACAGAGTTCTTTCATCAGTGAATTCTGAAACAAACCACCTAGCCTTTAACGAGCCTTTTCCAGGAGATAAAGAAAAAGGGAGGATGGGAGTAAGGAAGTGGTCTCATCTCTGTGGTGTTTTCGACCTTCTGGTACCAGCTTGTGAGTCCTACACATTAATTCTTGGGTCATAGAGAAAGATAAAAACAACTAGTAGATCGGCCTTATTGAGTAACAGTTTTCCTGTATAAAACAATATCCTGTAAATGCTTACCGTGGTATCAAAATATCATAACACAGTCTTTATGGCTATACTGCCACCTAGAGGAGCTTGCTCGGCATCATAATACATTCTGCTTTTTTCAATAGGAAAATGCCATTACTGAACACTGGGCCAACCAACCAACCAACTTATTATTATGTCAAATATAAACAAAGCAGAAATATACCTTTAAGTATGAGTATACATATAGCTATGGTGCTTTTGTGAACGTACATTTTTACATATTGGCTAATGTTTTTCATGTGTTTGTATTATTTAAAAAAACATGTTGTGCCATCTCACCAGGGGCGAGTACTTGGTATATGAGAAAGATGAAGTTAAAGCTGAAAAGCGGGAGTGGAAGAAGTACGATTTCCACTACGACAACGTGGCTTGGGCCTTGCTCACCCTCTTCACCGTCTCAACTGGAGAGGGTTGGCCACAGTGAGTGGATTATAAACACACACAGAAACCCACACACAAATAATAAACTCATTTTTTGATCAAATTTGTTACTGATATACAAATTTTACTTTGTGACAGCGAGAGTTTTACTTCAGCAAACAAAAAGTTTCTTTTCTCTTAAGTAACGATCGTTAATATATGCATTTCACTGCATATCGTACTCTGTATGACTGTGTACGTGACAAATAAAATTTGAATTTGAATTTTTGAATTTGGTGCTGCTGTATGTAAATAAAATGTAAAACTGAACTGAATGAGTGAAACTGAGCCACTGGGGATGATAATATATGTATCAGTACATTTTTATTTAGCCTTTTTCCTCCATCTCTCCCTTTTTTTAGGGTGTTGAAGCACTCAGTGGACTCCACCTTTGAGAATCAGGGCCCGAGCCCAGGTTACAGGATGGAAATGTCCATCTTTTACGTGGTGTACTTCGTTGTCTTCCCCTTCTTCTTTGTAAACATCTTTGTGGCTCTCATCATCATCACCTTCCAGGAACAGGGGGATAAGATGATGGAGGACTACAGCTTAGAAAAAAATGAGGTGTGGAGAGAGATTAAAGTTGCTTTGTGCTTTTTCAGATGTCTTGTCCCAAAAGTAAATTAACCGTAACACGCCTCCCCTCTGTTCTCCTCATCCAGCGAGCCTGTATAGATTTTGCCATCAATGCCAGGCCTCTGACTCGCCACATGCCAAAGAACAAACTGAGCTTCCAGTATCGTATGTGGCAGTTTGTGGTATCTCCGCCCTTTGAGTACAGCATCATGGCTCTAATCGCGCTCAACACCATCGTCCTCATGATGAAGGTAGAAGTCGCCCTCTGAGTGAAGTATAATGCATCATATGTCACTAATGCCGTTCTCATTGCTTTCCTGTCTATGTGTGTGTCTGCAGTTCGAAGGTGCATCGATGGTCTACAATAATGTCCTGAAGAACCTCAACATTGTGTTTACCACCTTCTTTTTCTTGGAATCAGTGCTCAAGATCATAGCATTCGGCCCTCTGGTGAGACTTTAAATGAAAACGACCTGCACACAAAAACACACTTTCCTTATGTAGGCTGACCCAGTCTATATGCACCAATATTTCATCCTATTATTCATTAATAAAGCAGGTTATTTTGGGAGGCAGATCTAGATCATGTTTTTCTGGAGAAACCCTCCTTTCGCCCTGTCTCTACTGTAACATCAGCACTATTGGATGGGGGCTCCTTACCTCCTTCTGGCTTTAGGTTGTGAAAGATGCAGATCTTTAAACATCTCTCGTTTTGTTGTCTTTCTTACCTGACAGAATTTCTTCAGAGATGCCTGGAACATTTTTGATTTTGTGTCTGTCCTTGGAAGCATCACTGACATATTAGTGACAGAATTTGGGGTAAGTGCTGTACGGTGTTTGGCCCAAATGAACAATAAAGAATGATTTGTCGAATATAAAAGAGGCTCAGAGGAAAAGCCAGCTTTTTTGCACATGTGGCGACTGGCCTTTGGAGACGTCTGTGAAGTCCTTAAAATGAGGCAATCACTACCCAAGGCCTCACTGAAACCACTAACAGACAGAATTATTAAGTCATGGCCTGTATTAAAGCAATTTATTCATGAGATATTAAACTATTTTAGATGCAAGAGATATTCAATATTAAGGCTTCAGCAAGACTATGAGGAATCCTTCCATAAATCTTGCTTAGCCTTCTGAAGTCATCAGTCCATCATAGATAAATAATAGCTTCGGACTGATTTTTGGACTTGTCAGAGATCATTTATTAAAAGTAATCTGGATCAGTAGGTTGCAACCCAAAAAAGTGTCCTCACATTATATAGATGCACATTTGCAAAAGTGGGACTTAAAGAAAAGAAGGCAGTCACTGGCTGCTCCTCCTATTATGGAAGCTACGGTAGATGGTGAACATTGTATCACGGTGCAGCTGTTGTTTCTAGCTCATTTTGAACCTGTCTTCAGTGAGCAGTCTCTCAATGTTACCTGTGAGTTTGTTGGTACTTGTATGTGTAATAGTATGTACATATGAGTTAATATAAGTGTGGATATGAGACCAGTACTTCAGTAGAAGTTTCAGCCTCTCTTCACTGTCCAGCTGTTGTATCATTTTTGCTTGGTGTGTTTTGAATTTGGCATCAGGCTTTCTTCTACTAAGTCTTCCTCTCATTCACACTGACTAGATTAGCAGTAACTGTGCTAAGTACTGCCGTCTAGCAGTGTTTGCAGATGATTAAAAACACCCTCTGGCCGTGTTGGAGGGGCCACATTTGTATGTGAACAGGCCTTAATTGACACCTATGCTGCTTCAAACAGTGAACTGATTGTTTCAGACAGCTGATTGATTTCTTGTCAGGATGCTGCCAGGTGGTAGCAGTTGAACTGCTGGTTACTGGCTTCGCAAGTAAATTTGAGTGTTCATAATAGCTAACACTTACTTTTGTTGTGAATTTTCATACATAGCCAAAAACAGCTTTTGGTTAAAGTTAACTGAGCTAGCTGTATATTTACAGAAAGAAAAAAACCCAATAAGATTATTATTTTTCTCTTTAACATCTTGGCTTGCTTTGTGTCTGGTTCATTGTTAAAGATTTGACATATCTGCTAAACAGAATGGCACGAAACACCAGTCAACTCAAGAGCATCCCAGACATTTTCAAGTTAATGACTAAACACTAATGTATGTAGAGGTCGATTCATTTTTGTCTAGTTTTAGGATCTGGACAAATAATAACACTTCAAGCAAATATCCGGATTCTTCCGTTTAGTGTTTTAAAAGGAAGCTGTTGTTTCTTTTTTTCTTTCTTTTGTACAACACCAATACCAAAAAAGTTGGGTCCCTGTGTAACATGTAAATAAAAACAGGGTGCAATGTTTCGCAAATCTCACAAACCCATATTCTAGCTGCTTTGTCTGCTTTGTCATAGTTTCATCTTGCACCCATGTTGTAGTCACAGCCCTGGCTTTGCTCACCTGAAGATAGTTGGCTTCAAAAGGGAGAGGAGTTCTTGTAGCTTATCTCTGTCAGTGAGGGCTTGTATAAGTTGTGAATCATGCACACCTACTCCACTAGTGTCAAAGAATAAAAAATATGGAGCAGCAAATTGCCTTTGACTTCAAATAAATGAACTTTGGTTAATGAAAGCTGGAAAAGAAGAGAGGCTGAACTTACTCTTTCCCAAATGAACTGCTGTTGTCTTGAAGTGTTTCAGTGCTTTTGTGATGACGCCCATATTGATTCTGTCTTCCTCTTCTATCTCTTCACATGCTTTCTTTAAACCTCTCTACTTTGTTGGCACCCTACGCCCCTCCCACTCCCTCCTCCTCTGATAAAATCCATCCAATCAAAATGCACTATGAAATCCTTCATCGTGTTCTCCATCCATGCTGCACCATGACATGTGGTGGTGGTCCTGTGATGATGATGATGATGATGATGATGATGATGATGGTGTGTGTTCCATGTCCAAATAAAACACACAACCAACACCCGCCAACCCACCCACTTACCTTCTCCCCTCCTCCCCCAAAAAATATCTTTCACCCACTCACATTTTACTACAAATGAAAACAAAAATCCTCCCATTCCTCTTTCTACATATTGGCATATGTAGAATCCGGTTGGTTTGTAATTTATCTCTCAAAAACTTTCTCCTGCATCTTCATTGACTGTGCACACCCTCGATTCATTTGTTGCTCCCCAGTCACCTGCTCTCTCATGGCCAGTCTTAACCCTGAACCCAGTGCATGCGCTTTCTGGATGTTGGACTTTTAAACTCTCTGAACTTCCTGGTCACAGTACTTCACTCATCCGTGGACTGAATGTAAAATAGTTCAGGTGGCTCCTGGGACGAAATTGATCTGTGAGGTCGATGGACATTTGTCCTCCAAAAAATTAAAGGAACACTTTAAAAACACATCAGATCTAGGTGGGGTGGGGGGGCATGCTGGATGTCTACACTTATAAGGACTAATGTGTTTGGGGGGGGAAGGATACCACATTAATATATGGAAATGAAAATTATCAGGCTAAAGAGGGTTGAATTAAAAGACACTATAAAAATAAATAATGAGGCACGCTAGTCTATTTTAGTCAATTTTGCCAAAATTTTATTGCAGCAGCTCGAAATAGTACTCAGTAGTTTGTTTGGCCCCCACATGCTTGTATCCATGCCTGACAATGGTGGGGCTTGCTCCTGATAACAAAATGTCCTGGGGGATCTTCCCCCAGATCTGGACCAGGTCTGCGACCACTAATCACAGTCAGTTGCCGTCTTCGAAGCAAGTTAGGTGAGTCAAGATGGACTCAGTCAACTATCATTTTACGATTAAATGAGGTCACGTTAGCAAATTCATGCAGACTATTTTTAATAATACACTATGAAAATCACAAATCTGTTAATATCTACATACAGTGCTGTAAAAACATATTTGCCTCCTTCTTGATTTCTTATTTTTTGCATATTGGTCCCACTTAAATGTTTCAGATCATCAAACTAATTTTAATATTATACAAAAATATAAAATGCAGCTTTTAAATGATTATTTCATTCACTAAAAAACATTATTCAGACCTATCCTGCCCTGTAAAAAAACGAATTACCCCACTAAACCACACTAGACACATTATTTCTGTATTATTACAAATAGATTACATGTATTTGCTAACTTGACCCCAATAAATAGTGAAAAATGATTGCACAGTGACTCCATCCTATTGCCGTTCTGTTAACATCTTGATGCACCAAAGTTGCTCCAAAAACAGCAGCTGACCATCAGTCTAGTAACCATTTTACAGGCAACAAGCTCATAGCACATGGCCACCGTGTCATTACACCTGGGCCAAGATTACCAGGTGTTATCTTTTATATAGTCTATAGATTCATCCATAAAAGTTCCAGTAGTTTGGTAAATTTCTTGCCAGGGTTACTGATTAAGAACACGAGGTGGACAGTTTAAAAAAAATATTGCTTACAAGGCAAAGCCAAACTTTTTTATATTTGAATTCTGTAGTTTGAGATGTCTGTGTTCCTCACAAGAATGTATCACACACAAATGTATCAGAGTATTAAATCTTCAAATACAGTTAAAAGTACAATCTGCACCAGTGGCCCTCTCTGGACTGCATGTCGGCCAGCTCCTTTCTCCTAAAGTATGCTGCCTGAACTGAGGCTGCTCTCTGGTCCTTCTCCCACGCCTTCCTCTATACCACTTCTTCCTCATCCTCCTCTTTTTGCCTTGCCTTTGAACAACAAAATGCCAGAGCCTCACCAGAGTTTGGCTGTTGTGTGTGAAATATTTTCTCTGTGTGACATGCCAAAAAAGCAGAAATAGGCTCAGTACAAATTCCCAAGGGCATTGGCAAAGATCCCGGCAGTAAGAATCACATATTTTACATTTAACTTATCAGTTCTTTTCAAAAGGGAACAAAAAATACCAAAATCTTTAGGACATACAGGCATCTATATCGTAATGTCACTCTAAATTAAGGTTTGTCAAATACTGATTGGTTGTTCTCCTCTAGAGACAACAGAGAGCAACCTAGCTTCCTCTAGATGGGAGCAAACTCAAGCCATGCTCTGTTAGGGTTTGTCATTATGTGTGTGTGTGTGTGTGTGTGTGTGTGTGTGTGTGTGTGTGTGTGTGTGTGTGTGTGTGTGTGGTTGACAGGCACATTGCACTATGCTCCATCTGATGTGGCCTGCTTGCCCCCACCCTCCCCAGAGATCAGTGCATTTTTTTTCTCTTAAAAAAACTGTTTTGTTGTATCAGATTGGATGATGACCTTTAAACTCGTACAACTCTTCTTCTTCTTTTTTTTTCCTTCCTCCTTTTTCCTTTCTGTCTTTTTTCCCCTTCAGCCTTTTTACTGAGAGCCGTTATGTTTGCAGTTGCATTCATTTAGTTGGTTTTGACTTCCCTTCTCTCTTTTTCTTTGTCCTCTCTTTCTTCAAGTGTTGATTTTGTTTTTTCTGTTTGTTAGAGGAATGCTGTGCAGGTGCGGCATACTCGGTGAAACTCACTGTGTTCTCCCTTTGTGCTCTAGAATAATGCCTTCAGTTTGAGCTTCCTGAGGCTCTTCAGAGCAGCTCGCCTTATAAAGCTGCTGAGACAGGGAGAGACCATTCGCATCTTGCTGTGGACCTTCGTCCAGTCCTTCAAGGTATTCAGTCAATAAATGACACAATCAAAAGGTATGCACATGTCACAATACACTTAATGGGACTAAAAAGTGTTTCCTATCTGCCATGCTAGGCTTTGCCATACGTGTGCCTCCTTATTGCCATGCTGTTCTTCATCTATGCCATCATTGGCATGCAGGTGAGTACTGCTTACAGAGTCCTGAGATTTTTACATTTGATGGGTTGGGACAGTTAAATGCTTCAGCAACAGTGTGAACAACACAGAATTTGTTCACAAAGGATAGAAGTGTCTATCCTGTATCCAAAGGTTTACTTACATTACACATCATAGAAGTGCAAGTAAGATAAAAAGAGGTTAAATTAAAGATCTTCTTGTGCAGTCACAGTGCGTCTCATAAAACATGTCATATACATATACTCAGAACCGCTAAGGGAACACTCCATCATCACAGTGTGACACAAGTCAGTTAAACTTGGGGGATATCAGGCTGTCCGCAACTCAGCGGAGTGGAATAAAATGAATGGATGGAACTGCCAAAAATATTGTTGCATCATAACTAACTAGACAGATTCATATAGCTGATGTTTGACTTTGTGTTTAACTGTGATGACCACGTGTTCCTTTAAGTTTTTTAAACATCATAGTATAAATTGCACTGCAAAGTATACATACTAATCTCAAATCAAAGGCAGGGTGAGGTAATGAGCTGCTTTAAGCTTCAAAAAGTCATCACAAGGGTTTCCTTATAGGTTTTGTATATAGACGTAAAATCTGCAAAATAAGCTGGCAAATAAATACTGCAGTACAATATTAAAAATGCAAGGTGTGATCAAAATGTTTGCTGTAAGGTTGTCTGCTTCCAGCGGTGCTGCTGTTTCTGGATGCCACTGTGGGAGTGTCACTTTTGCATCTACTTTTTTGGGTCGAAATCGTCACATCTCAACTTAAATTTGCTTTTGAGAAAGAGGATAAAGTTGCAAGGGGGGAAATCAAAAATCTCCTGCCTGTTTAAAGTGCTGTATACCAGTGCGGTTCAGTTCTTTTATGGCTAATCTTCTCCCTCACATGTCTCTGGACAGTAGAAATCTGCACTGACATTCTGACCCTGTAGGATGAATTAACAGTGCACAGCCCCATGCATGTTGAACAAGCATCCATATTGTTGTACCTCTAACTTGAAGAGATCCAATCCAAATGAAGCAGGAGCGGCTGGTCCTGGCTCAGCTTCGGCACCTGGTGAGCTCATCACTGGACCCACTTCAGTTTGCCTACCAGCCTGGCATTGGAGCGGATGATGCCGTCATTCACTTCCTACATCGTTCCCTCGCTCACCTGGAGACCGCTGGAAGCACTGTGAGAGTCATGCTCTTTGATTTCTCCAGTGCCTTCAACACTATTTTTCCCTCGGTCTTGAAGGACAAGCTGGAGAACTCAGGAGGGGACCATCACCTCACTACCTGGATTTTGGACTACCTCACTGACCGACCACAGTATGTGAGAACCTCTGCAGTACGGGGGCCCCACGGGGAACGGTTCTGGCTCCGTTCCTCTTCACCATCTACACTGCAGACTTCTCCCACAACTCCACCCAGTGCTTCCTGCAGAAGTTCTCTGTTGACTCTGCAATAGTCGGCCTCATCACTGATGCAGACGACAAGGAGTACAGAGGACTGACCCAAGACTTTGTGGACTGGTGCCAGCTGAACTACCTCCAGGTCAACACCAGTAAAACCAAGGAACTGGTGGTAGACTTCCGCAGACACAAGCATCCTCCACTGCAACCACTGAACATCCAGGGTATGGACATTGAGACTGTGGACAGCTACAGGTACCTTGGTGTTCATCTGAACAACAAACTAGACTGGACTCATAACTCAGACGCCCTCTACAGGAAAGGGAAGAGCAGGCTGTACCTGCTGCGGAGACTCAGGTCGTTTGGAGTGGAGGGCCCACTGCTGAAGACCTTCTATGACTCTGTGGTGGCGTCAGCCATCTTTTACGGTGTGGTCTGCTGGGCTGGCAACATCTCTGCCGGGGACAGGAAGAGACTGAACAGGCTGATCTGGAGAGCCAGCTCTGTTCTAGGATGCCCTCTGGACCCAGTGGAGGTGGTGAGTGACAGGACAATGGTAGCTAAGCTGTCATCCCTGTTGGACAACATCTCCCACCCCATGGAGGAGACTCTGACAGCACTGAGCAGCTCCTTCAGTGTCAGGCTGCAGCACCCACGGTGTGGGACGGAGAGATTTCGCAGGTCTTTCCTCCCCATTGCTGTCAGACTCCCCAACAAAGACTCCAACTGACCAAACACACACATCCACACATGTGCAATAACACTAAGTGCAATACTCTTTTTCTGACAAAGTTGTATTTTTACTCAGTTGTATTAAGCATTTGTATTCTATTTTTATCCTATTGTATATTTTATTCTATTTATTCATTCTACTGTATATAGTATTTTATTTTTTTTGTATTCTATTCTGTACAGTTGTGTACAGTATTTTATTCTTATTGTATTCTAATTTTTGCTATATAACTTTTGCACTGTCCACTTCCTGCTGTGACAAAACAAATTTGGGACTAATAAAGGTTATCTTATCTTATCCCTGGAGTCTGTCCACAGATGCAACAGATGATAACGAAGGGGGGATCATCCAAATTAAACCTTGTGTATTATTTGTTTGCTTATTTGTTTCCTTTTAACGGTTTAGTCATAATGCAATACATATGAATAAAGAAAATGTTTTTAAAAATGGAAATATTTAGTAGGAATAAAACTTAAACGACGAAAATGATGTGCAAATTGACAATTAAAAGTCGAGTGCTGCAGAATATCTATTGTTGATGTGTTAATGTGCTGAAAACGCTGCAACAAGGCAGTTCCTGTTGTAACGACGTTGCCTAAACTTCTTGATTTTTCCTTGTTTGACTGCTGTTTGTGTGTAGTTGTTTGGGAACTTAAAACTAACTGAGGATGATGGAATCAATGAGCACAATAACTTCAGAACCTTCTTCATGGCCCTAATGCTGCTGTTCAGGTAAGACTTTACTTCCTCTCTTCTTCTCCTGTTGACGCTCAGTCTTTTTCTCCTTAGAAGCAGGACAGTAGCACTGATGTGCTATTGTATATGTTATCATATCTTCTATATTAATAATCTTCTGTGTTCATATCAAGTCGTGTACAATGCCCTCTTTTTTTAATGTCTCTCATAGGAGTGCTACGGGTGAAGCGTGGCAAGAGATCATGTTGGCTTGCCTGGATAGGAAGGAGTGTGATCCTGAATCAGGGAATGATAAAAAAGAATGTGGCAGCACCTTCGCTTACACATACTTTGTCTCCTTTATCTTCTTGTGCTCTTTTCTGGTGAGAAAACCCACTGGATACACTTTTACGCAGTTGATCAAAATATGGGTGATAGAGCAGGTCGCCAATCACAAGGTCGGTGGCTGCTTCAGTCGATGCGTCAAAGCATTCTTGGGCTAAATACTGAAACCCGAAAAACTCCTATGCATCCACCAGAGTGTGAATGTTAGTTCAAAGTGCTTAGGTATAAATAAAAGCATTGTATGAATGTGTTTGATTAGGTGAAATTTGTACTAGAAAGTGCTTTAAGTAGGGCAAGAAGGCCACTATGTAAGCATTTCAGTCCATTCCACTCACCCGCCACTTTGTTAGGTACACCTATTCAACTGTTTGATAAAGCAAATATCTAATCAACTAATCAAATCACAGAGATTGAATGCATTTAGGCATTCAGACGTGGTCAAGAAAATCTGCTTAATGTGTCAGACACTTTGTTTTTGCCAGATTGGCTGGACGGGGTATTTCAGAAACCTCTGATCTACCGTGATTTCCCCATACAGCCATCTTTAATATCTCTAATATATATAATAAATATTCAGTGCGTTGCAGTTCCCTGGGTACAAATGCCTTGCTGATGTCAGACATCAGAGGAGAATCACCAGTCAGCTTCGATCTGATTGGAAGGCAAGAGTAACTCAAATAACCAGTCATTACAACCATGGTGTGTATGAATATCTGTGAGTGTACAATACTTCAAATCTTTGAAGCAGAAGGCCACAACAAGTAGCACTCCTGTCAACAGGAAACAGGAAACTGAGGCTATAACAGGCTCAACAGAAGTGAATAAAATGTTGCCTGGACTGTTGATTTCTGCTGTAACAATAAAATGGAACATAAAAGCATGGATCCATCCAGCCTCGTATCACCAGCCACTTTGCTGCTTCCAGCAGTATAACATGCTCAGATCATCTCAAACTGGTTTCTTGAAATGAAATCAGTACATAAATGGCCTCTGCATTCCTCAAGCATACGCTAGAAATAGAGATTTGTTTAATGAATGTGCAGCTGATAGATCTGCAGCACCCGTGTGATGCTGTCGTGTCAATATGGACCAAAATCTCTGAAGAATATTTCCAGCACCTTGTTGAATCTGTGCCAGATCTGAAGGCAAAACATGGGTCCAGCCCAGGGCTAACATGTACCTAATAAAGTGGCCAGTGAGGGTATGTTATTGTTTGAAGAAATTTTTTACATCACTGTGTTTGCGACATACTTGTTCCAGATGCTGAATCTGTTTGTGGCTGTCATCATGGACAATTTTGAGTACCTGACTAGAGACTCTTCCATCCTGGGGCCTCATCACCTGGATGAGTATGTAAGGATATGGGCCGAGTACGACCCTGCCGCCTGGTGAGTGACACACAGGTGGACTCAAATCCACACAAAAATACAACTAAAACACACACTGCACACTGTTGGAAAGTTCTCTGATTTTACAGCGATATACTATTATTTTACCGTGTACCTACACTAACCTCCAAAAATGGCTTCTTAGTGTAAAAAAACCCCTTATAGTACTGTATTATATTAAAGTCTTACAAAATAATACTGTCAACTTTTTGAATACCATTGTACTGTTACCATTATAATGCTTCCAGGGTAACGTCCATATAAACAGGGGTGCACATAAGTGGTCCGCAGCTGAGCATTCTCTGTCAAAATAAAAGACGCGCACCAGATAAGAAGTTGCAGCGCGTGTTTGCATACATACGATTTTCTGGAGGAGGACAGACATTTGTTTAGTATGCAAACACAACAATATTTCTCAGTTTTTCCACATGATAAAAAAAACATGGTGCTGTTGTAAATGAAAGCAATCTTTCAGCATGACTCCAAAATTTAAAGTCCAAAATTTATGCCTCCTTCACATTTTCCAAAGTTGTCCAGTGGGTCAGATTGGTGTGTTTGCCAGGCCAATTCTGGCCCCCGGGCCTTATGTTTGACACCCCTGATCTACACAAATGTATAAATAGTCTTTTGCTGAATGCAAAATAACATCTTAACCCCTGACTTTCTCTCCTGCCCTGAAATGGGTAAAGACTGCTGTCGTGCCGATGTCTTATCCGAGAAGCGTGCAGATCAAATGGGATCTACAACGTGTGATGATAGTTCAGAGTGGGACAGTTAAGGCTGGCCTGCTTGAGCAGTTTCCAAGCATCTATTTCTCTTTTTCCTCTCTCTCTCTCATAACTTTAAATGCCTTCTCTTCCAAAGTTGAGATGAATGTGACCCTCCCTTCTCCCCTGTGAATTTTGAGCGTGCATGCTAAAGATGATTTTCTGAATCTTTCTGCTTTTTTTTTCTTTTTCTTCTTTCTGCTCCCTTTGTATTTCTTTTCTCTCTCTCTCTGTATTTTGTGTGTTCCCTCACCTAACCTCCCCTCCTTGTATTTTTCTTGCAGCGGGCGCATACATTATAAGGATATGTACAGTTTATTGCGAGTTATCTCCCCTCCTCTGGGCCTTGGCAAGAAGTGCCCACATAGGGTGGCCTGCAAGGTTTGGACCAAACCCCTAAAGCACAAACTTAAACGCAACCTGCTCGCCTTTAAGAGACTGGAATGAATGTTGCTCTCTATCACTCTTAAAACCAATTTGTTCTTACTTCAACTTTTTGATTTCCATTGGTTTGAGTTTTTTTTTTGGGTTTGCTTTAAGCTCATTTCACCATTTAACCATTTTTTTGGGGGGGGGGGTTCTGTTGTATATGCATTCTGACATGACAATGAGAATGTTTGGGACAATGCAGAAATGCACACACACACTCACTCTCTTGTACACACTCACACACACACACTGATACCAGTGTGTGAAGCATGAGGTGGTGCACTGCACTTGCTATTGTCTTCTGACTGAAAGCTGGGGAAAATTACACTGACATGTTTACTTTGAATTCAGGATTGTGTAAACATTAGACTTTAGACTCCAGTCAGCCATTGTGTTTTATTTCTGCTTGCTGTCTAATTTTGCCTGGGCAGAAAATGGTTGAGCGATGTGCATTGTTCTTGTTTGAGTTGGGGTTCGGGTGCGGGAGGCAGGGGTTATTACAGAGCCATACAAAGAGAGTTTGGTCTGAGCTTAACAGCCAGTGTTTTCCAGCCATGTGCCACAGGAAGTCAAACGTGTGCAGACTTTGATTGTACTCACTGAAGCAGCTCATTCAGGTGACAGACACTAGTTAAACTAGCAAGTACGAGCTCTTGTTGCTAGCTGAAATGAAAAGCTGCTACATCTTTAACTTCCATGGCACATGTTTGGGAACAGCTGTCTTAACCTGTTTGTAATATTACATTTTAAAGCCACTATGTGTAGTCTTTTGTGCATTTATACTGATAGATTACTCACACAAAAATCGAATATATTTCTTTAAAATAGATCACAGAAACACTAAAACATTGTGTTTTATGTCACTAGGAAAAAACGCCATAATTCAGCCAAAATCTGTATATAAAAGATGGACAAAACCACCAAGTCTTGTTATTACGCCTCAATTATAGAAATATGGCCATCTTGGCTTTTTGAAATCATTGCTACATTATAACCTAGTGTTAACAAGGTGTGACCAAACATTATATGGCTATATTACATACACAAATACCTGCCCATTAACAGTAATTCCACAAAGCAAAACTGGAGCCAGGACCGCTTAGAAAGTTTTATGTACAATTAGTCATATAGAGAGGCATATTATTTATCAGGTAGTTGCATTAACCCTCTGAGGTCAAAGTCATCGTGTATAGCAAATCTAACCCTAAACCCATACTTTGAAGAAAGGCAAAACAGAGTCTTTTTGATATATTTTTGATTGTCTAGCCTTAGCGTTATGGTCATCACCAATGATGAAGGTTAAAAGTGTGCCAACAAATCTACAAACATTTCCCTTCAGCAACTCCAACTAGTTTATCATAACTTGGTCGGTATCTCTAGAAATGTAGCAGCATGTCACATCAGCTCAGGTCACAAGGCTGTGAATGGCCCATTCTGATCAGCATTTGTTTATATGGATTTCCAGTTACTAATTTTTTAGTAACTGGAAATTAATTTGGTGATTGAGAATGGAAGAGAGGAAACTTCACTGCCACCTGGTGTTGGTGGTAAAATTGCAGAGCACGGGGATAAATGCTAACAGCATTGTCTACTTGTATAGTGTGTATGGTAGGCTCTACATTTATTCAAAGTCGAAGTATAAACTAAGATGGATTTTCTCAATAATGGACTGGAGTCAGCCTCAAGTGTCCAGTTGAGGAATTGCAGTTTTTCTTCACTTCCTTATTGGGTTGTCCTTGTAGCACAAAAGGTTGTTTCAGATATAATGGTAAATGATAAATATAATGATTGAAAGGGGGTTTTTTTTGAGTAGCTTCTTTTCTAAACCCTTCTTAACTTGTATGGACTTTCAAACCAGTACACGTAGTGGCTTTAAAAATTAGACACACCAAAACCAGTATTTAGCCTGTTACATTACCTTTATATAAAATGCACCCTGTACTTTTAGCACAGTAATATCGAAGTTAAACATACTTTTGCAATACTTTTCCTAAAGCTAAAAGGACTAGCTACTATTAACTAGTTTCATAAGACAACAAATCAGCTATCAAACGACCTCCTATAGTTCTTTAAGTATAATTTTCATGTAAAATCAATCTGCAGGAGTTGGGTAACTGTTATCTGAAGTACTGTGATGAGATGGCCAAACTTGCTCTGTTTGTGGCTCTGGTGTGTGGGGGACAAAAAAGAAAGGGGCAGGGTGTGTGTGTGGTTTGGGGCGAGGACTCTTGACATTAAAAATAGTCTTGTGTCCACCAGGTACCTCTTAGTAACTGCTTGTGTCGGCAGAGGTTCGTGGGAAGATTTGTTAGTCATACCGTTTACATTTGCTTTTTGAAGCTACTGCTAAGTAGCCAGTTGAAGTGAACTTACAATTTATTTTTAATTCACATTGTAGTATTTAACAGTTAAAAAACCCAAACAATCTGCATCACAATGTTACACCTTTCCATTTGTTAAGTTGTTCTTGTCCTCTATTGACTTAGTTATATTTGAGTTGTGAGACGTCTAATATGTCTGTAGTATGAGACCTGTTGTATACAGGGTGTATCGGAAGAACCACCCAATTTCAAAAGGCTATATTTGTTTAAGTAATAGACATAGAACTTTGTAGTAAAGTTTTAAATACATGGCTGAATAAAAAGCTTTACTTACGATGTTCACAAGTGCTCGATGTGTCTCCCTCCGGATGCATAACATACATCCATATGATAATCAAACTCATCCTATACTTTTGCGAGCATGTCTGGAGGCATGGCAGCCTCTAGCAATTACGCAAAACTCTCAAATCCACTCTTTCTAACAGTACGTCTTTTGATTATTACTGCTGAACAGCTGCGAAATTGAAGTACTTTGAAACTGAATGGTTCTTTTTGAGGTGCTTTGTACCCTTCAGTAGATATTCCACTTCATTCAACCTAAACTAATAGGTACAAGCTATCTGGACAGGCTAATTCAGTTGCATTTTATTGTATTATAAACAACTAATGGTTCTCAAACAACCAAAACTTTTTGAATACCTTCTACTCAGCTGCTACCCTTGTTGTAAATGTGTCGTGACCTTTCCCATCTTGAGGGAGGGCTCCCCTGAACATCTAAAGGCACAGCTGTGAGTGGAGGTTCCTGGTGGAGACTAAGCCTCAATAATGGACTGCATTGACTTGTCACTGTGACTCACTCCGATCTCTGCAGCGGTGCTTTCTTTGCCTGCTAGAAGCCCCGCTGCCAGTTCTATCCGAGCGGCGAAAGAGGGCACCGACTTTTAACGAAAAAAAATACCCACTCAAATCCCCTTTTCGACTCGCATAGAACGGTATCTTAATAGCAAGTAACTAAACTAAATAACACCTCCTCCAACCCTCCCCTTCCCTAACCTTTCTCCCTGCCTTCCTCCCTTCCCTCCTCTTCTCTCCACTAACGTTACAATATATCAAACTAGAAGCCACGTAACACACCCCCTCTTTCTCTCTCGTTCTCTTTCCTTCTCTTTTTCTCTCACCACAGCAACCACATATCCACAGTGATCAAAACAATAACCTCTGTGTATTTGTTTCCCCCCCTCTTCCTTTCCTTTGTCGGTTTCTTTTTATTTCTCCTCATGTCTCCCCCGAACACACCTCTGTCTGTCTGTCTCCGTCCTTCCCTCTTAATCCTCCTCTTCCTCCCTCCCCCCATTGTTTTTCTTTCTTACGTTTTTACGTCGTCCGTCTTTGTTTTGTCTGGTGTGGGTGTGTTGGCGTATGGGGTGTTGGATGCATGTGCATATATGGTGCACGTGTGTGTGTTTGTGTGTGCGTGTGTGTATGTGTGTTCGTGGCCACTCCAGCGGCCGGATCAGTTACACAGACATGTATCAGATGCTAAGACACATGTGTCCGCCGCTAGGCCTCGGGAAGAGGTGTCCCGCCCGGGTCGCCTATAAGGTAGACTCGCCCCCCACCTTACCCCTCCACCCCCCTCAGCCACCACCCTCACCTCCTCCTCTCCCTCCCCTCTCCCATCATTCATTTCTTCCTCCTTTTCCCCATCCATAAAGTCTCCGTTCTTCAGCCTCCCCATCGCTGGGGAAGAGAACCTCTTCTCTTTCATTTGCTCAAGCCTCCCTGTCCCTTTTCCTCCTCCTCCTTCTTACCCACTCTCCTCCACCTCCCTCCCTTCTTCCCTCCCTCCTCCCAGCGGTGTTCTCCTCATTGTCTGTTAGTGGTGGTTGTGGTGGTGGTGAGCGCTGTCCTCTCTTCTTTCTCTCCGACCGCGGGGATGGAGGGATGGGCTTTTGTCGTGAAGTGCAGTGATAGTGGATTGGTAGTCAGTCCTCTTTCTTTGATTTCCTCCCGTCAAGCCACAGGAGTAAGGGAACGGAGGAGGCTTTGCCAGTCCTTCTGCAACCTGCACGGACGCAAGCAAAACACAGTTAAAGCACAGGTGTAACTTAGAAAGTAAGAAAACTTTCAGACGTCCATGTGTTTTTAGATTGGTGTAAGTAAGTCCACTAAATATTAATGACTACTTTCAGTTTTCATTTATTTATAGCCTATTTTGTTCTGAAATATTCAAACTTAAGAAAAAAAATTGTTTTAAAATATATACAACTACTTAATCTACATTTATTCATTATTTATTGCAGGTTTGCATTTTAAAATTATGTCCTATAAAATGCTTATAGAAATTTTTAGTGCAGTGAAATCATGCTTGAAAATTTGTGAAAAATACATAATTTCCACACGCCATTGATTTATTTCAGGAAACATATACAAGCAACACTTAAATTGAGATAATTTTATTAAGGGTTTTGTTCACGCAGTGCAATATTTGCTTACGATGCGGGTACAGAAGGACCGGCAGTGGTTTCTGTCTTCAAACCTCTGTGCCTCTTATTCCTGTGGATGGCTCTATTATTCTGTGTATTATATACACGCACACACACATTACCATACACATATACAATGCTTATACAACCATGTTCTGGCCCTTGTAGTTTTTTTCCTCATTTTTCAAGATGATTTTTTGACATTCAAGCATCTCTGGCTTCTTTGTTCCTCAGACCACCAGTGTAGAGATTTGGATTGAGCATTTCAGCATTCACTGTCTCTTCGTCTTATTGTCTACTCTCTCTTTACACCTCAGCTGAGTCCTTCTCAACCTGTCCTTCTTCTTATTGCCATCCAGATTCACTAAAACACTGTTGACAAGATGGTTTGGTGCTTCAACCAGGAGGGAAGTGATTTCTCTGATTATTTATTTTTTTTAAATGACATCTAATTAAGCTTTTTTTTAAATTAAAATCAGGAAATATGTTACTTACACCTAGAAATTCAGCAGCAGCTTAAAGGGTTTTGTGGTTCACTTTTCACAGAAAATTCATGTCAATTTTTTATTCAGTTTTATTCAAATTATTTGTCGCGAGGACTGAGAAGAAGGGAGACGAAACAAAGCTACTCACAAGTGAGTAGGTTGTAAAATACACTACTGGAAAATTATTAATAATGACTGTGTTCCCTTTTTGGTGAACCACACTATAGTTATTGAAATGTTATACTCTTTAAAAAATAGTAATATTTATGGTCACGGTCTTCTTTGTAGGGTTGGCGTGAAAGGATCTAATCTCTCACATGCGATGGTGTTGGTTGAAAAAAGAAATTAGAAACATGCTGCTTACCTGAAGCAGGAGCTCAGAAATAGTAGCTCAGAAAGTTGGGAATCGATAGCTACAGTGTATCCAGAAAGTACTGACCGTACTTCACTATTTCCAGCTTTTGTAATGTTACAACTTTATTCCAAAATGGTTTAAATGTCTTTTATTACCTCAAAATTTTACTTTACTTTAAATTTTTGCAAAGTTATTACAAATATGTTAATTATTTGAAGAATTCACAGCAAAAAAAAAAAGTCCCTTAAAATTATTTCCCAAGAAACAACAGTCACTAATTCACGCAAATACTTAATGAATTGGCCAACTCTGTTTAGCCAGCACCAAATTAGATAAGATAAGATAAGATAAGATAACCTTTATTAGTCCCACACGTGGGAAATTTGTTTTGTCACAGCAGGAAGTGGACAGTGCAAAAGTTATGACGCAAAAATTAGAATACAATAAGAATAAATACAGTACAGTCATCTGCAGCAGATCTGCCTGCTCCTGTAATGAGCTACACCTGATATGACTCCTAAAGTCAATTATCTGTACGTGCAGTCGATCCACTTATCTCCAAATATCTGTGTGTACAGTAGCCTCCCATTTATTATATGTGGTGAGTGAAAAGCAGTAATTTTAACAATTATTAGAAAATCTCCAGCGTTACTCATTTCTGTTGAATCTGGATGTCAGTAATCTTTGTACTATCCATTTGCCTCTCTCATTCTTCCTTTTCCTCTGTTTTCCTCTTCTCTCCACTGACCTTCTGCCTGCCAGCCATCCTTTCCCTCACATTCTTCTGTCTTTCTACTTCTACATCCACTTGTCTGTCACCAATTAGGAGCCATCTTCACTCCTTCATTACATCCCTCTGTCAAGCCCACTCTGTCTCCACTTTACCTCTCCTTCCTGTTCTTTCTCTTGGTTTCCTCTCCAGTATGTCAAACTGTCTTGGCACTAGCACCCATCACATACTTCAGCCATCAGAACCTTCCAGTATTCATTTACACAAATCCGACAAAAAGAAGTCAATTAAAGAACCTTGTGATATGAGAAACAGTTAATGAATAAAGAGGGGAAGGTTTACATTGCCCTTAATATTTAGGCAAAGTTCTTGATCTTCACTTTAGTGGACACAAAGCCCTTTACTCAAAGTAAAAAAAGAAAAAGCTGTTAAATGTGTATTGCTACGACAGATTGTCTCTTTTGAACTGACCTCTGTCAGTGTTGTTTTTAGTCTTCGTCTTTATCTTTTGTCGTGTTCTGTAATTTTCAGCCTCTCTTTTCTCTTTTCTATCTACACACACACTCTCAGTTCTCCTCTCAGTTTAAATCACACTGACTCACGTTCTCTTGATTCCTCTTTTACTCTTTCAGTGTTTTCACAACCCTCCTCTCTCTGCTCATTCTCACCTTTACCTTTTTATCTGTAACTACATCTCATGACCAAGCTTAGAGTTGACTAGTTTAGCCCGACTAACTGTTATCCCTGCCATGTGTCCCCTTTGATACGCCCCGGTCCCCTTACCCTACAGCTCTATTACCACAAAGTCTGGTTGGTCCAAAACCAAAAAAATAAATAAAATAAACAGAAAAAACAGAACTTCAATCATCTGTTTTTTAAACTTCTATATGATTTTTTTCTTCTTTCAGGGAATGCCACAACTCTAATCCTCTCTAACTCTTACACCCCCTTAAAACACTGCACCCGTCTGGCATTGAGAGAGATCTTGACTTGATACGAAGTAACACCTCGCTGTCCAATTTGACTTTAGGGCAGCCATGAATGTAAAAAGTAGAAGGAGAAAACAAAAGAAGAATCCAAAAAGTGTGAAATTACCTGTCAATCAGTAGGATCAATCCGATTGGATTGAGGATACTCTCTTTGCGCGGATGCACGGCTGCTTGTATTGTAAAAGTGGGTTTTAAGGGAAGTAATGGGGAGTAGTGGGCTGGGTGGGAAGAGTTTGGGCTTAGATAGTGGGAGTGAAGTAAATGCATGTTGCATGCTGTGTCCGGGTTTGTTGGATTTTTTGATGGGGTGTTGCATGAAATCCTCTTTGTCGCATGGCTATGGGCGACATCGAGCCTGCCTGCCTGTTGCCTGTCGAGCGCTGTGGATGTTGGCCGATGCCCTCTGCCTGCTGCACACTTGGCTTTGGGCATGCCCAACACTTGCACACACTCAGGAACACAAGAGCACGTACACAACTCCACCGCCATCGTACTACCGTGCTTGCCATCGTGAGTGCCCAACGCTCATGTTCGTAGGTAAATCTGATGGATGTTAACTGGTCAAGATAGGAACGGCAAGCGACCCCAGCTGGCCTAGCTTGTTCAGTTCTATCTGCAGGTTTCTCCATTGGTTTTACCTGGTATAGACATGTAAAGACAGGGAACCTCTTTAGAGGTAGGGGGAGCTCTATAGCAGTTGCCTCAGTTAAACAAAACCACAGCAGTCTCCTGAAAAATAGCAGAATTACACCAGTGATACTGTTATTGTTCTTCAGTCAACTTATTTTGTCTCTAAAGGACTCCAATTAAGCACTCTTAATTGGAGTCTGTGCAAATAATTGTGTGTAAGTGTAGAGGGAAGGGATGATTGTTGGGGTAGGGTGGGGGGTGGGGGGGTCGGGTCTGTGTATGTGTACTGTTATATCTATCTATATGTGTGTAACAACAGAGATGTGTAAATGCACCCATGCATTCACACATTTAGGGAACATGGGCACAGGTTGGGTCGGAGGCCATTTCGGCTCCGATTGTTCTTCCTTGTGGTTCTCAGCTCTCACAGTTGCTTAGCAGCAGATGGCCCTCATTGGATATAGCTGTGCTGTTTCGTAGAGTATCACTGGAAAAAAAAGAAACAGGAGACACTGGAACTCGACTATTCAACATTCTGTCATCACGTAAATGCTCTTGCACTTGCCAATGCAAAAAATTTGCAAAGCTGTGCAACAGACTTAACCCACGAATTCTCAAGAGTCACTCTATATGGCACACCTTTATCAGAGGATTCACTGACTCTACACCCAGGCATCTGTGCCTTAATTCTAATCTCTCTCAGGGAATATTGACTAAAACCTGGGCAAATCCGGTCCAGCTGGAATTGGCTGTAGTCTATGGAGCTCTCTCAACCCTGCCCCCAACCCCTCATCCCCTCCCCTTCCTGGAGGTTCAGGCACACCACAGTTCAGCAGGGACACATCCCTTTCTCATCCTCTCATCCCTGACTGGCTTTCCACAGAGGCTGCTGCGCATGGATCTACCGGTTGCTGATGACAGCACGGTGCATTTTAACTCCACGCTCATGGCTCTGATAAGGACAGCACTGGACATAAAGATTGCTAAGGGTATGGTATGAAGTACTGTGACACTTTGAGTCTCTTTCTTCACAGTTTCTGTCTCTTTCTCTTGAGAAGTATGTTTTAGATTATTGTAGCAAATATGACAAATTGCTAACAAATTACTTTTTTGTTTTTGGGTGAATGTTTGGATGCCTGAATGGATAAATATATTTCTTTTTGGATTTCATGCCATTGTGCCTCTCTTTTGGTCGGTACCTTGCTCTTTTTGTGTCTGGGGGCTCTTCACATGTGGTCGGACGTCTCCATGTGTCTACAAATGTTCAATGTGTGTGCATGGACGCTTTTGGTACATGCTACCCAGGTGGTGCAGATAAGCACCAGATGGATGCAGAGCTTAGAAAGGAGATGATGGCTATCTGGCCCAACCTATCGCAGAAGACACTGGACTTGCTGGTTACCCCTCACAAGGGTAAGTTGTAGGAAAACAGCACAAAGTGGTGTGTGTGTGTGTCCGATCACCAACTCACCAAGAGGAAAGCTTCTACCAGCCAGTGTCATTCACTGCTTTGCATCTCCTGATCGGGGAACAACAACAAAAAACACACACATTAACAGTACTTACACACATGCATAGATTTACAAATGTAAATTCTTTGCAAATGTTGCTCCAATACTTTGGGCCAGAGCAAAATAGTACATGCATAAAGCCAGACTAATATCATCAATTGGGCGGTAAATTTAGATGGATGATGCCTCTTTGTCACACCGTGTCATTTGTGTTCAAGGTCAGTTATTTAATGAATCCAAATCCAGTTAACTTTACACTTTAGAAGTTTTCAAAGTTACTTCAAAGCCTTCACTGTACATGAGGTTGGGTCAAAATTTAGCACTTAATCAATTTGAATAATTTTAACTCCAGGTCCAGGAGAGAATAATTTGTGGCACTAAATCATTTGGTAACTGGGAAGTTTTACTTGTTTTCTGATCATTCACTGGGGAAAACTTCAAAATTGGGCATTTTGGATAAACTTGGTTAAAATGTTAATACAAAAGGTCTCCTTTTTACCTCCTTGTAGGATTCTGTGTACATTTTCTACAGGACAACCAAAGTAAAAGTGTTGGACTATAATGACTAGCTCCAAAAAATTAGTATGTCGTCATCAACAACACCTCATACTAGCTGTCAAGCACGGTGGTGGAGTGATGATTTGGGATTTTTTTTACAGCAATGGGACCTGGGCACCTTGCACTCATTCAGTCCACCATGAACTCATTCAAATGTGAGGCTGTGTCTCCCACAGCTAAAGCTTGGCCCAACATACAGCAGGTCAGTGATTCCAAGCACAGAAACAAATCTACAATAGAAAAAGAAAAAGATCAAGGTGCTGCAATGAAGTCCAGACTGCAACCTGATTAAAATGCTGTGGAGAGTTAAATGAATGCCTGCAGACTTCAGTGAACAAAAGCAACAGTGGGCCAAAATTCCTCCACAACAATGTGAAAAACTGATTACTTGTACTTCGTCCTTGTGTTTTGGTATCAGGCTCAGCTTCTAGCTGTAACTCCTGTGTCACTGTAATCTGCTAATATAGCTTATGGCTCTGAAATGGAAGAGCATCATTAGTGCTCACATGTTCCATAATATAGTCTGGGCATATCACATTGATCAGATAAATTTAGTCCTGAAGATGGCTTTTGTTGTAAGTTGAATACGCAGAGGTTATCTCATAAAGACACAAGGGCTCAAATTCAGCAAACTAAGGGACCAACGTTTTGACTCACCCTCATGTAGTTGAAAAGGTGTTTATAGTAAAGTAAAATTTGATATGCCTTCACTAACTATACTTAAGTGATTGTACATAAAAAAGGTGGGAACTTTATTCAGCTTTCATTGATTTTAAATGGGATTACCCTTCAGATAACATGTACAGATACAGCATACCATACTTAGATTCACATGGGCACACAGACACATCACATAAGAGTAGAAACAGCAGGACACAAACCCACACCATGAAACTATCCACCCATTCAGTCATTCCTGTTATCAGGAGGTGCCTACTATAGAAGATCCTCTATAGAAGTCTTTTCACTACAGGAAGACTTTAGGATTAAACCTTTATACAAATGTAATGAATGTAAAGCCTGATTGGTTAAAAATAAGTTTATGAAAATGCATATAGTGCATGTTTACTTCTTAGTACTTGCATGGAATTGATTGAGATATAAGATATGTGTGGTCATATCTTATCACACATTAATATCAGTTTTAATGCTCGAAGACTTTTAGCCACGCCACTTTGAAAAGGGCGCCACAAGTATGCGGTGTAATCTAGTAATTCACATTGTTCACAGACAGTCGAAACAAAGCTCAATATTTTTCTGATTTTAAATATTTATGTGTTTCACCCAAACTCTGGGGATATGTATCCGGAGTTTTTGGAAAAAAATTGAGCTCCTTTTTTTCTCAGGGATCACTTGGCTGTGGTGTCCACGTTTCTTAATGAGGTGGCTGCCTAGTCCTAAGCCTTCATATTAATCTATAAGGAATTTCTTTTCCTTGTATGATAAGATGATAGCGAAATAATAAGAGCATGTCCTTTGAAAAGATATAAGAACAGCATCTGCCTGTGAAAAGACTACCAGCTTTGTTACTGTACTGTGTTGTGATATCGTATATGCCTGTAGTACACCAGCAAGTGAGCTTAACCTTGTTTCAGTTAAGGCTTCATTCGGGAATGTTTGCACAGTGGTTACTGATATTCTTCAAAAAAACAAAAAAATGTATTCGTTTGTTGAATGTTAAGTATTTTGATGAAGTAATACAGGTTCTTATTTGCCCTTAGAAAGTGCAATATAATTTTTTTTTTAAAACATGACAAGCTACAGTGTTCATGAGCAAGATATAATTTAAGAACTGCCAGAAATGCTCCTTTAACATTTAAAGGTATTTGCTATGTGAACTTTCAGACTGTGTGCTTGCTCATAAATTTCTCCCAAGAATTCATTTGTTTTCATATTTGCCGGGATGGCTTTGTTCTGGGATCCTCCCACCCTGTAAAATGCATATGTGGAAATCCTAAGGTGGGAAGAACGCCAGTAAAATCGAGAGCAGACATCATTGATAACAAACATTAGATAGGGTCAACATGACATTGATTAAGTCATAATGGAATGAAATGTAGAAGCTGGGGTGGAGGTGGGTTGCAAATCGGCTTGCAGTGGCAGCAGTAACTGTGTGCAGACTGAAGCAGTTTAAATAGATTTGGTCCCTATTCTCCCAACAAGAGCTCAAACTGTCCCACTGACATTCTGAAATGTATGAAAGCGGTCATGATACAACTCTTGGCTCAAACCATGAAATTGTCCCTGCTGCTGCCTTCTTGAGAAAAACGTCATCGCTCGATGATACGGGGACGTGCCCATCAGTCTAGAACAGGGTAAATCTGGGCTCATCAGACCACATTACCTTCTTTTATTGGTCCAGAGTCAAGTGTTTATGCTTCCTAGCAAAACCCAAAGCTTTCCAGTTGCTTAAATGGTTGGTAAACTTTTAATGTATTTAATTTATATATTTGATTTATTTATCCACATACCAAAACTGCTGAAACTAAAGTTTTTCTTTGCTCAGAAGTATCAGTAACCTCTGATCAAATATTCTCAGCGTGTACCTCTGTCAGCTAAAGCTAGGAGCTCCTCAGCTCAGAAAAAGCAAATGCTGAGTATTTTGTTGACGTTACAGTTTTATTTATTTTTTAATGCTAAGCTAGGATGTCCAGCTGCTGGTGGATTATGCATGTTGTGTATTTCTCTGTCAGTGTTTGTGTCTTGTCCCCCACTCCCATCCCTCCCCCATGGCTCAGGGTCCCATCACACTCGGGTCTAATCTTGCAGGGTAACTTGTCATTTTCTCAGCAGCCACAGACTTGACGGTGGGCAAAATCTACGCTGCCATGATGATCATGGAGTACTACCGGCAGAGCAAGACGAAAAAGCTGCAGGCCCTGCGAGAGGAACAGGTAGACTCCAAGCCAGAGAAATATTCCAAATACCGAAAGACTTTTTTCTTTTTGTGTTCCTCCTCCTGGTCGTCTCTTGTTTGCCGTTCTTCTGCCAGATATGGATTTAAAAGAATAAGAAACATGTCTTATACATTTAAATCCTGTGCTGACTCCCAGCTACACTTCTGAGCACAGGTTACCTCCCTCTTGCACTGTACCGTCTCTTTAGCATGCTTCTAAAAATCTGCATACATTTTCTAGTACCTTCTTGCTTTCTTGGCTAACCAAGAGATCAAGAAGCCTATTATTTTACAAAGCTTGCTAAAAGGGTTATTTTATATAATCTTTTCCAGACAGTTAGCAACTTGACCCTCCCCCACACTTTCACTTGTTTTGTTTGTTTTGTATCATGGATAATTTGAGCATGGTAAGGAGGATAAAGCATAACCAAAGGTTAAACTAAGGATTTTGTTGCTTGTAATCTTCTGAACAGTGATGATGATGATGATGATGATACCACATGGCCTTACCTTTGTTCCTTGTCAGTGCTCGTCCCCTTGTGTCAATGAATGCCTTTAAGATGCACTCGCTTGTGTGGAAACATCTCTCCACTTGTGCAATCGCTCCTAGATTTGCCCATGAAATGGTGTCAGGCGCATTCTTACTGACTCAGATGCATGTCTTGTCTCCAGATTTCCATTTTGTCGAATGAAGGAGTGCATTGGTGAATGGAGAGTATGTTGTTCCTTTCTCTTACCAACACTACATCATGTCAAAAACAGCGTGTGTCCTGAATGCAGGCTATCCCATCGGACTGAACGGACAGTTCGACACCAGCTCTCTCAACATCAGCAGTGCACGATGACTTTAACCATCTCGTCATCTCTACTTTATCTCGCCACTGCTTTCCTCTTTTCTGCTGCAGTCTTTGTTTTCATATTACCGTGCTGCTTTGAAGGAAGAATCCACCCACAATCTTCACGTGTATATTTAGAGAAGTCTTTTTTTTTTCTGTAGCATCAGGTTTGGATACCCAGTAGGGTTGGGCATTTGGTTTCACTTTTCAGTCATCCTATCATCCCCCTGCGGCATTACCCATAGCATTGCCACTGGGATCCTGCCGTTAAAGTAACACTATCCACCCTCTGTAATGTGCAATGTGTGGCCAATGCACACACAATAAAGGCACACAAGTGAAAAAGAAACACACGTGCCAGAAGTTAATTTTTCACATCCAGCATGATGGAACATTTTCACATTTACATAGAACGCTGATTTCTTCAGCAAACAGTAATTAGTGAACAGAACTGCCTGGATGTGGCTTTTCAGATTTAAGTGCTCCCTAGTGAAAGCTGCTTTCCTTAGTTTCTGAGCCAACAAGCCCACTTTTGGTTAACCCTCTAAGGCAGAGGTATAGAACTCCAGGCCTCTAGAGCTGGTGTTCTGCAGGTTTTAGACGTGTCCTTGATCCAACACAGCTGATTTAAATGGCTAAATTATCTCCTCAACATGTCTTGAAGTTCTCCAGAGGCTGGTAATGAACTAATCATTTGATTCAGGTGTTTCGACCCAGACTGAGATGTAAAACCTGCAGGACACCCGCTCTCGAGGCCTGGAGTTCCCTACCTCTGCTCTAAGGTCTAGCAGCACTGTACAATGAAAATGTGTGATCTTTGGGCTTTTGCAAAATGTTCTCCAAAGTCTTGAGGGGTTTTTTCTTCAAAACATATGGTTAATGGTTAAGGTTACTTAACGTCAGTGATATCTTTGACCTCATCTAGATGCTGTACCTGTCGATCTATGTTCCCACCCTCACTTATGGCCACAAGCTAGTGACCCTGAAGAATGAGGTTGCACACACAGGCAGAGTACAGGTGCTGCTCCTCCACATTGAAAGGAGGCAGTTGAGGCAGAATGCTTCCTGATGGGTCCTCAGTGAGGCGTTCGGGTCGTGACGGCTTCCTGTTGTTGCTCAGACCCCAAATCAGAAAGAGAAAATAAGTAAAATTGACAAATATTTATTTTAGACCTAAAATGACTAATAAAAGAAGCTAAGGGTGGCTCCTTTCTTTAACAACTCATCTGTTTACCTCTTTGCCTCCATTCATTCCTGCTGTGCACATGTCAAGTGTGAAATGTCTTAGTCATTGTTTGTTATCGTTGTCTGTCAGTATTTTGTTGTTTTGTCTTTGTTGGCTACTTTGTTTCCTTGGCATGGATGTTGTCTGATGTCCCTTGTGCCCATCCTCCATGCCATCTGTGTCCTTCTGTCTTCTATTTATCCTTCCAGGAAGCTAGAGACTTTGACCTGTCAAGCTCTCCCTATTTGGTCAATCCAGGTTGATTGCCACCACGTTTCTCTAACCGAGACCCATTCTCTTCAGCCTGTGTTTCTTTGAATCTGCCTGCTCCCTTCTCTGTCTGCGGGGACGTTGAGGGAAGATTCCTGAGACCAGTGTCTCCCTGTGTAATCATTCTGTCATGGAAGCATTCATTCATACACACACAACTGCAGAAACATACTCAGTTGGAGCCAGAGGTGTTCAGTGTTTCTCTGTTTGTCATTATCCTATCCATCTAAACATTTCTACCATGAGTTTTGTCAGGATCCATCAGTGGCTCTGGTGCTAGAACAAAACTGTTCAGAGACAAACTTAAACAGTTTTTCTCCTTGACACTGGAAAAGACAGTTGGACAGGATCAAAAAACTTATGGCTTTTTTTTAAAGTGATATCTTTGTGACTTCATTCGTGAGAACAAACAGAAGTCATATCGGTTGTCTCTGTGTCTGACACAATCAGTATGACGTGTGTCCTGTGGCGAGCTTAGATAATGTCAGCATTTTTAAGCAGCTAACCAAAGCTGGCCATTATTAATGGTGCACATTGTAGCCGGACTTCCTGTCCAACAGATCAGCCTGATGTGTCTGAAGAGGTTTGAATTTGTTTCTGAGCAGCTCTTCAGTCATTTATCCTCCGGCCTTTAGCTTCCAGACCATGGAGGGACATGACATGGGCTCTCGCAGTCATGAACCATCAACGCTAAGCCACTCCAGAGAGGACTCTGTTGAAACAGGATCTCCTGAGAGTAAAACGGCTTGACCTTTGACCTGTCTGATGGAAGCAGAAGTTGCTTTTTAATACTGCTGGTTTAGGATCAGATTACTACTTCTCTTGAAATGGCATGTTACTCAAAACAACTTGGCAGATCAGTATATGATTTTTGAGTAAAATGTCTCTATATAGATATACTTTGTGAGTATGAGAACCTGGTCCAAGACCTGAGATTTAAGAGCAATCTTACCTCAAGGTAAAAGCTCCCCTCTGACACAGATCTGAGATCAGTTTTGCTACCCTGAATCTCTACCCAACATATCAGAGTTAACAGTGTCCCTTTAACACTTTCTGGGTAGCAAGCAGACTCCAGATCAAGTAGTCTTTGGGGAAACTTTACCTTGGATACCCACAGCCATGTGCTTGCTGATGGCGCCCCCGTGTGGGTGCATGCTGCGAGTGCATCCTGTGTTTGTGTCCTGTGTCTGCCCCCCTGAGTGTGCCTGATGCAAGCCTGCAGGCCATGTCGTGTATCTCACACAGAACCGAACGCCATTAATGTTTCAGCGCATGGAGCCGCCCTCTGAGGGAGGCGGCACGGACGGCCAGGGAGGCCAGGGCCAGAACGGCCTCTCCAGCACGCAGCTAGACAACATCAACAGCATGTGAGTAGAAAACGGGGGAAGCCCATACACACTGCAATGAGGCGCTTCAGACAGAAACGTCCAGTACAAATACATTAAGCATACAGTCGCATCCACACTGTAGATCAATTCAAAAAATCTGTTTGTTTGTTTTTTATTTTCCCCCCTTTTGTGCCAGTTCCATTCCAGCTAATGCCTTTAACACTGATTGTGAGCTATAGTGAGCTGAAAGGAAAGGTTTGAAAGTAAAAACAAGCAAAATGTGCTTCTTCTTTTTTTTTTTGACCAGACCTTTTATGCCTTATTACAGTTTTTGTACATTTTTCACTATAATATTTTAGGAGCCATATTTAGAATATAAGGCATCATGTGACTTCTTGAAGGTTATCAAAACTCTTATTTAGTTTGGTCTCCTTATTTAAACTTTGAAAGATATTGATTATAAAACATGCCACAGTTAGGATGCTTCAAAGTTTGCTGGAATTCTGATAACTTTATCATTATTCTCTTATTAAAGACTTATTAAAGTCTTTGCAGAGAAAGATGGTGCCACTAGCTCGCACCAGCTCATCCACAGCACCTCAGCTGAATCTCATGCTTCTCTTTTTTTAAATCATATCATCACATCAAACAAAATAATATACTGATGTTTTACTGTGATTGAGAAGTTTGAGGTAAAGAAACCCTAATCCTTAAAACAAACCTCTGACAAATATACACTGTGATCTCTGTAACATAGTTATTTTTCAGTTAATTATGATATTAGTTTTTCCTCAAGTGTAGATTAAAATGTAATTTTGTTTTCATTTTCATTTCCAAACCTTGGATTTTAAATGTAGTGTAAACATAAATCAGATCAGATACAGAAAAAGTACAAGCGCTGTTTATCAAGACATGAGTATAAGGTCTTGATGCCAGGTCTCTCTTGGAAATGAGATTTTTAATCTCAATGAGATTTTTTACCTGGATAAATAAAGGATTAATAAATAAGCAACAATATGATAATTATAGTATCTGTAATCATGTTACCATGCTAAGATTAAAATTAAGCTTGAAGTACAGCTCCTGTTTAGACGGACTCTATAAATCAGTAAACAGGTCAATAGTAGCCGACATATTGATCCCACTCTAAATTAATTCCTTGGTCTTCTGCAAATTCGGTGTTGTTGCATTAAGGATTACTGAAAAATTACAGTATCCCTAGCATTCCAATAATATTCATATTTATGTTTGTGTGTGTGTGTGTGTGTGTGTGGGTGCCAGACCTCCTGAGGGTGGCATGACTGAGAGCCAGTCATGGGTGACGGCCAAAGCCCAGGAAATGTTCCAAAAGACGGGTAACTGGAGCCCGGACAGACCCTACCCCGACGACCTCCACGACAACCGTCACAACCCCCAGGTATAATGACACCGAACATGCATGTTGTCACCGTGGTAACATCAGTCTAAACCCAACCAGTCCCTGCTTCCACACTGGTCTAGTAATATCTGTGGACATAATAGAGAAGGGAAGAAACTGCAATCCCAACTCAACAACCTACTTCTGCAGGGTTTTTCAGTTTGTGTAGCTACTCAGTGACCCTACTTGCTATTACGTTTTTCTAAAGCATCTAACATGTAAAACTTCCTGCTAAATAAATACAGTTCAAAACATTTCAGAGGGTTTTTCTCCACTTCAGTGTCCGCTGCTAATTCAAAGCTGAAACGATCTTATATTAACCTGTAAAAATGTTCAGAGCTCTACATTGTAAAGTGAAAAGCGCAGCTTTCTAAAGAGAGCAGTTAAAGACAGGTAAGGTGTGTCATTAACCTCCTGGTTTCCTTTGCTCCTTGGCGAGCATTTTATTTAGAAATGTCTTTTTGTAATTATCTAAGCACACAAGTGGATGGATAGGCATCTAAGCCATGGAAGACACCTTTACAGACCTGGACTTTTGCACTTAATCAGCTCCTTCATTCCTGCCGTTTCGATGTTGCTGCTATTACTCCGCAGGCACAACAGCAGTCTTTTTCTTTTTCCAGATGTGCCCACTTTTGTCCTTTCATTCTCTTTCTCCATCTTCCTCCCCCTAGTCCATGTTCCCCCGGCCTTATTCTCTCAGTCTGACCATCTTCCTCTCCCTTGAGTTTTCCTGTTTCCTCTCCAACCTCCTCTCGAGTCAGTGGCTTAAAGTTTACAGATGTGTTTTGTGACCTACACCTTTTCCTCCCCACTATTCCTTTACTTCCGCTTGTCTGTTGGGGTGCTCCTACTCCCCAGTGCCTCGTCTCCCTTCTGAATCCCATGACGGCTGCACAAAGACGAAATGTGAATTACAAGTTGTGTAAGTTGGCTGTTGAGCTCTTGAGAGGCTCCAGTTTTCAGAGGGTTGGCAGCTTGATATTAAAATAGTTTTCCAGTGGTTCCAAAGAAGTATTTCCTTGTTGGATTTTGGATCTAAATATATTATGGTTATGTGGTTTTATAGTTTATAAGCTGACCTAATCCATCCCCACACTAAATTTATGCAGCTTGTTGCATAAATTGTCCTATTATTCGTCCTGCAATTGAAAAAAAAGAAAACTAATATCATATGAATAATCCTATCCTTGTAACTCATTAACATCATGTCATGCCCCTCGCTCGATTGGTCAGTGAGTCTCCCCCTCAGCAGACAGTGGTCACGCCCCCTCTCATTGTGTTTTACAGACGGTAGAGATGAGGGAGATGGGGCGGGACGGGTACTCCGACACTGAGCCCTATCACCCAATGGATGGGCATGGGCGGACCCTCTCCATGCCCCGCCTCTCGGCAGACAACCAAGTGAGCACCTTCATCTCACCATCACTCACTGTCATCCTCACTCTCTCACATTATGCCTGACAGCTGAAGTGAATTGGAAAAGCTTCTCTCTGCATCCTAAAACAAATAAAAAGGAACGAGTCTGACATCATCTAAAACCTTCTCGTTCGAATAATAATTTTTCATATTTCTTAAAGCATTTCAGGTAACTCTGGGTCTCTGAATGAGACGTGCCACTTAGGATGCAATGTCAGGACAGGAGACTGCTGTAAATTCACTTCCCTCTGTCTCGTTTCCCTTCCCTCCTCTTTTTCCACCCATCCTCTAACCAGCACTGCCTCCCTTTCACCCTTCACTCCTCCAGCAGCTGACCCATCACTGCTCATCTCCAAGCTCCATCTCTGAGCAGCACTGCAGAATGTAAAACTGGGTCTGAAGGCTGGATCAGTGTCCTAGATATGTATATTAATATACATCTAGAAGACCTGTGTGTAGAGAATATTTAACCCCTCCCCTGTCACTGCTCCCCGCTCCATTTCCATTGAATCCTTGGTGTGTCTGTCCCGTGTGAACTGTGGCCAGAGTCACTCTTCAGCTGCGAAATAAATAAAACTCAGCGTCTGCAACACTTAAAGGGAAACAAAGCACACGGTTGTTGACGTGAAAGTTACACATAAAGTGGGTCATCCGTTCATTATACTGGGCCATGACTGACAGGATGAAGAGCATGATCTCAGCTACCCACGCTGTCACTGAAGTGAAGCTGTGGCGTGTATGATGATGGGTGCACGCATGTAAGGCATGCCTTTTTTTAACTGACAAAACTTTGACAAAAAGAAAAAAGATTCGATACATCTACAGATCAGGTTTGTGTATCCTCACTTAACTGTGGCACACAAATCCATTCCAACAGAGAGCTTTTCCAGCACTCCACAGTCGGAGGTGTGTTAGCTAAACCTGTCACGCCAAGGCAGGTGTTGCAATAGTTCAGTAAGGATCTAATTAAATAACGCAATAAATCTGCTTTTTACTTTAAAGAAGGATTATTGAAACTCAGTTAATCAAACATTTCAGCACATGTCACATACAGCACTTGTGGACCTACGTACTTACTTTGAAGCCTCTGGCTGCAGTTACACACACACCAACACATTCATGTCCACAGCATTTCACTGCATCACGTCATGTTGCTCTCACTTTGGTATGTTGGTTCCTTCATAAGGCTTTTCTGTCCGAGCAGTTGGAGTAAACAGCAGGATTGTGTACATAATAAAAAATCAGCTTATACCTTTTTACTTACGTTTTTGTGGAAGCACTTATTAAATGTAACGTTACAATAAAGCTAACGGTTATCACCTTACCCTCACATTGTTGTACAGTTATCCAATGGCTGTGATTTATTGTACTGTATTGTCTTAGATGCTTTTCATATTTAGTATCTGCGCACCAGTATGCACTCATTAAAGCAAACACTGCCTGACCCAGGTCTGTTACCTATACATTTGAACATTGCTAAGTCTTCAACTCTGAAAAATAGAGTTGAGGTTTAGTGTAGTTTAATATGACGCTGCTTTGAAACGAAAAATGTCTCTATAATCGTAAAGTATCCAGAAACTACGGAAAGCTAGCTCGTTCTGTAGAAAATATCCTGTGCGTGTATCTGTGAGTGTGTATCTGTGTTTAAGCGTGTGTGTTGTGTAAACAGTATACATGTGCGTCTGTACACTGTTACTTACTGTATTCTAACACTGCTCTGCCTTCCAGAGTGCTCGTGCTATTTCGGTAAGTGTGTGTGTGTGTTTGTGTGTGTGTGTGTGTTTGTGTGTGTGTGTGTGTGGGGGGGCGGGATGTCCTCTGTCTCCTCTTGCTCGCCCGCAGATCTCTTGGCTCTGATGTGTGCTGCGCGCTAGACATCCTGAAATTAACTGAACTCTCTCTTTCTCTCTTTCTCCTGTCTCTGCACCCCAACTCCTCCTTCATTTCTTCCTTTATATCATTTTATTGTATTTCATTTTTCATCCTCCTGTGTTTTTGTCCGACATCCTCATCTGTCCTCTTCAAAAAACAAATCCTCTCTTTCTCTCCTCCACAAATCACTGTCTTATCCTGTTATCGATTTCTCTCTCTCTCCATCCTTTTTTCTCCTCGGGTCCTGGTGGCTATGCTACGTCGGGCCTGTGCTCTGTGTGCGTGTGTGTGTACGTGCGTGTGCGTGCTACACTGCTCTGCTATACGTTATCATCTCTGTGTTCGCCTGCTCTGCAGCGGAGGAGACACAGGCCTCGCGGAAATAACCTCAGTGTATGTACCTCTTGCTCTATCTCCATCTGCCCTCTCCCCCGCTCGTTTCCTCTGTCTCTCTCTGACGGTCTGTCTTTCCAAACTGGATCTGCAGCAGATTGTAGTTTTGCTGGTCATTTCGCCCCACATCAGGTGCCATATGGGTGGAGCTGAACAACAGTGAAACAGTTCGACTCGCCATTCGGTGTCAAAGAAACTGCCCCTGCCCTGGTATTCAGGGCAGTTTGCATTTCCAAATCCTTTTCATTTTAGCAAAATTTTCAGCACTCTGTGTGGCCGACATTTGTTCTTCAACAGCCATTCAGAGTGTTCACGGGCCATGATTGAGTTTTCAATCAAACACTGAGATGGAACCAAGTGGGTCAGTCGGTTGAATGGAAATTCAAAACCTCTTCTGCTCATTCACCAAATATTCCAGTGTTTCCAGAGTGGCTGCACACTCAAGTGTTCTGAGCAAAGGGTATTCATCTCTTGGACAGAAACTCAGCGATTTTCCCAAATTTCAGATAAATCAAACGTCTATCTAGTTTTCAAAAGCCACCATTTTAAGTGCTGTGCCACACTTTTGTGTTCATGTCTGTAGACACAATATGAAAGTCAGCATCAAGCAGGAATTTTATGCCTTTTTAAAAGAAATCTCTGTGTTGTCTGCATATAGTCTTTTGTGGTAATGGGTTGTGTTCTCCTTCATTGATGCACCTTTAGAAAAAGTCAACCTCTATTACATTAATGCAGTGAACCCCACCCATCTGGCACTCGAGCCTCTTTGATTCAGCTTTGACCTAATTGTCACTGTTCAGATCTACTTTGATCAGGCCTTCTCCTCTGTCTTCCTCTTCTGTCGGCTTTTCTTTGAGCTATCTGAGTCTCTCTTTTTCTTCTTCCTTTTTCTCTCTCGAGTTTGCTCATGTTGAGCTCGCTCTGCGCTCCATTGTTTTCACTCCCTGTGAGAGTTTCACAGGAGTTCAGCTCGTACGCAGCGTCTGTGTGTGCTCGTCTGTGTGTGTCTATTACCTGTGCATTTGAATCCTTTGCATCACTGCAGACCGGGTCAACAGTGTATGATGAAAAGCATGGACTGCCCTGATATGTGACTGTTGGCCAGTACCGGGGATAGGCAGGGTGCCGGCATGTCATTACTCATGCATGACGTGGCAAAGTCTCACTGTGGATGCGAGAGAAAGTGGTGTGCCAATGAGGCAAGGCGTTGCTTTAGTCAAAGCCTGATGTTCAGTAGCATAAAAGGTGGCATGAAAGGCAGAGTGTGATGCTCATGATGTAGCTGCGTTGTGTTCAGCACCTTACATTAAGTTGCTTTCAATTCAAAATTAACAGTATAACTAGGGATGAAACAAAAATGAAAAACTGAAAGAAACCTGCCTGATGAGGCGTTAATGGACTAGTTTACTGAGAGCTTGGATGTCTACAAGAATGTGAGTCAACTGCTCTCAAAAGGTATACAATAAGACCACAAAAGAGACTGATAAACTAACTAAAAACCAGGGAAGACTAGTCAAATCTGGCAAGTCGGATCGGTAGTGACTAAATATTGTTATTCTAGCCAAAAAAGTACCATCTCACAAAAACACACTCCAGTGCTGATTGTTCTCAGTCAGAATTTTCAGAACATTCCCTAAAACTCTGCTTTGACAGTCTGACTCTTGGGACATATTCTTGGGGAACAACCTTTTAAATTAAAAGAAAAAAGACAGATATACTCCTGATCATGCTCCTCACCTAATGTGCCGTCTTCAGATTTGGACACAGCTGGACTCTTCCACTCAAAAGTTCTGTTTGGTCTCTGGATTATAGCCAGAAATCTTGCTCTCACAAAGGGTGGAGCTCCTCTACGTTGAGGGTGGGTTAGTTTGACACAGAGTTTGATCCTCTCTGTGAAACTTGAAGATCCATGTTGAAAACAATGAAAGTGGCAGCAGGTAAAGTTTCTGCGATTTATGGGTGTAGCAATGCAACTTTTTGATATTAGCTTTGGCCTTTGTAGTGTCCAAATAATGGGGGAAAAGAATATAACTTTGTAAATATCTAATGGTTTTTAATGATATTTATTTATTCTTCAATAAAACATTACTTTACAAAATGCTGTTTTGTCAAACTCATCAATTTAAAATGGAGAAATGAGGCTTTTTGTCAAAATAAACTATTCGAAGTCCGACACAAGTTTTTCTCTGTGTGTGTGTGTGTGTGTGTGTGTGTGTGTGTGTGTGTGTGTGTGTGTGTGTGTGTGTGTGTGTGTGTGTGTGTGTGTAGGTGGATTAAGGGTGTACACATTTCTGTACTGCCAGCTACTCAGAGAACATGCATGGCTTGTGTACAGACTGCTGTAAGTGGTGACATTCGTCTCAGGGCGGAGAATCCTCCTGTGTTTGTCTTTGTCTGGCCTGCTGCTTGCAGACTGACCTGCTTTATCATCGAGTTAATGTGAGGCTTTGTGGGGGTTCACAGTGTGGGCAGGGTCTTTTTCCTGATCAGAGAAGCCTGACAATGAACCCAGCAGGAAAATCATGTAGAACTGGTCCCAGTATATATGTTGTAGGTCACATTTCAGCTGTGAGTAGATGAGATGAGTAGATGAGCCTTCATGGTGAGCAGGAAGTAAATCACATCACCAGCTCACTTTTGATATTTGTTTATTATTTTGTTTATTCAAACAGACAGTGGACAGTGAAACATTTTGTCTCGTAGTTTTTTTAGTGTAGGATTTTCCTGTTGAGTTCTTGAAGAGCTTTTGCTCTGGCTCAGAGCGCCTAGAATGATGGATTGTCTTATCCGCAGAGTGTCCATATTTGATTTATATTCGATCATACTTAGAAAGAAAGTATGCATGTAGTGATAAACAAGATCAGTCTTTGAATAAGATGTAACCCTTGCTGCTCTATTGTCAGATTGGCGTAATGTTTTCTTCCCACACCATCTTTGCATCATTCTCATTAATGATGAGGACTAAGGCTCTCCTTACCATGTGTTTCATACCTCTGGCATGACATTTATGTCATCCAGCTAATTATAATATGCCAGTTTGAAAAGCAAAAGTTACATAAAATCTGTTCTTTTTCATGGCTATAAATATATACACATTTTTTAAGAAATGCCAAGTAATGTGGAATTTTCAGTTTTGCATTTTGTGTTTTTAATTATAAATCAAACCATAAAAAGACTGTCTGGTATCTCAACCCGAGTTTCATGTAAATGAAATATGGCTGCTGTGGGGAAAAGCAATATAGCTCCTCTGTGCATGTGAGGCATGGTTTCTAAAGCTCAACCTCATGCTTGTTCTCTGTCGCGCTACCCTTTTCTCCTCTCCCTGTGAGTTCCCTGTTTATATCTGTGCGTTTCATATCACCATATTTTGGTGAAGAGGCATGGTGTCACATGTTGTTTCATACTTAGACTTAATACTAAGGGATTTCAGGTCCTTTCCTTCAAGTTACATGAATGCTAATGCCGTTAGCTGGGGTCAGATTAGGCTATTCAGAAATCATATTTAGATCTGTATAGGTCACCACACACTACAGCACACAAGCCAAATATTCATATTATCAAATCAAACTGCACCTTCTGAAATCCTGAATTGCCGTCTTGTTCTGAACCACCACGCATCTAAATCAAGAGTTGGCATTGGATCATAAAGCACTTATACGCCCAATACCATAATGTTATATACTCAGCAAAAGTCACTGAAGTGACTGGTGTCCTTCTCAGACATGAGGACGGACTCCACTCCAGCAGTCCAAGGCCTTAAATCTCACTTCTTTTTATCTTTCTCTCCCCTACCTTATGATTTCTCTATCTGCCTCTATCTCCCTCTTCTGTATTTTCTTCTACTCTGCCTCCTTTGTCCTCGCAGACCATTACTGACACAAGTCCGATGCGTCGCTCCACGTCCAGCCTAGTTCATGGGCGTACAGGCAGGGGCGTGAGGCTGGACGACTACTCGCTGGAGAGGGTGGTGTCTGAGGAGGGGAGACATGGAGGACGCAGGGACAGAAGCCACCGCACCTCGCAGCGCTCCCTGACCAGATACACCGACGCGGACACGGGTGAGTAACTCAGAATGGTTATTTCCTTTGAAATCAGACCAACATCTGCACCAGTGTTCAGTTCACCAAAGAAAGATGAGCCATAAATCTCAGTGTGAGAGCAGTGCATCGTCTGCGTACAGATGGTGTGGCTAAGCTGACTGGTGTTTTGATTGCTGTGGTCAGACTGTCATGTTTAACACCATGAGAAGATCCCTAAAACTGTAACTTTCCATATTTGAGGGCTAGTGTTAAAATTAAATAATGTAAATTGGTTGTACAATTGGCATCACGGACAATCACAAATATAGGGCAAGTTTGTTGTGGCTGTTCATGAGCATTTGACTTATTTGTTGATTTAACTTTGCTTTTATATGAAAAATAAACTGTGGCTTGGAAATAAGTAGACAAAATCATAAGACTTCACAGTTAATTTGGAAAATATGTTATTGTCATTTCATTCAAGCACAGGTTGTGCTTTGGAAGAAAGGAGTTTTCTCATGTCACCAAGTCTCTTTACACAAGGAGAAACTTAAGTCTTGCTAACAGGCTACCATTTGTATTAGTATGTGGCATTTTATGCTAAGCTATACTACATCATAGATGGTTTAGCTGAAAAATAGAAAATTCTACCTCGCATGCTAAACTTTAGCATGTTAGCCATGTTAGCATAAGAAACGTTTGTTTGACCAGTAGACTGAATAAAAAAAAATACCCATTGGTTTGTGATTTGTGACACTATGAGAAATCAATTATTATTTAAGGCTGTCATTGATGTAACAATATTTGTTAGTAACATTAGCTTGGTTAGCAAGATGTATTCAGAGACTAGGTGCTTATTAATGTTGAAATACAAATAATGTATTAGAATATCTACTCAAAAAAATTGTAACATAGACTTCTTGTAATATATATGCTAGTACACATAACCACAACTGCAAAATAAGTGAGTTAAAAATGCTACAAAAGACACATAAGCAGTCAAAGCTCAGTTCAGCTAAGCTAGCTGCCTATCACTTAGAAGAATACTTTAGGACTCACGGCAACCTTAACATAGTTGTGGTCAAGGGGAAGTAGCTATAGAAATCAAAAGTGGGTTTTTTTTGTACCAGGCTATAAACATGCTTCTTCCTTCTCTAAAGTTAAGGACTGGAAGGTCATAGGAATTGATTTAGATTCAAATGGATATTTTAAAATTAAACATTAGCCTCAAGTTCGATGTTGTCTTCATCTAACTTATTACGTTTTTAAGGACCAAAACATGTCCAAAAATTTATTGCAACTGTGTGCAATGGATTTGTAATCTTGCTGCCTTTGACTTCAACAAGGGTGACCATGTCTGCAACTACCTGCCATCTTCAAATTAACATTTTTGCATCAGAAAGCTGTTGCCTTCTACATGCACAGAAATTCACATTAACTGCTTACATTCAGAGCCAAACCTCATAGATTTGAAGCAGAAATTCAGAAATTCTTCCACAAATAGTGACCTAGTTGCTAGGTCCATTATTGGGCAATGGTTTAATTGCAAATTGACTCAGCAACCTTGCTTTTATAAAGGAATAGAACCGAAATACAATCAGCTGAGTCTCCTATTGCAAAGATCATGTGACAGATGTGTTTTGCACATAATTGCGATCCGTTAACACTGCATTTATGCATTAGATGGTAATGGTTTACAAACCTTCACCAATCAGTGGTTCTAGTTAGTCCTAGAAGGACCATAATTGTTTGGAGACAGGTTGTCTCCCACCATGCAACCTGTATAATCACCTCGTGATCGAAAGTGGTCACTGAGCGATTCAGAGTAAAGCCCAATGAACCTCTGGGTGACCAGATGGTGACTGCAACTACTTGCAATTGCTTTCTGACAAAATAGTACCTTGATAGTACCTTTTAAGATTGCAACATATGGACATTTAGAAACTTCTACATATAGTACTGCGTGCAGTGTTGTTTGCAGCCAGGTCAAGAGTAATTCAGCAGCAGTTACTCCATTTACCTAAGTCAACATACATTTACAGATCATCATATTCACAAATATTAGTGCAATTCAAATCTTGGCACAGAGAAGTCCTTGAAAAGAACATTGCACAAAGCAGACAGCCCACTTCATCATTAATTGCGAGTCCAAATTGCATGCTTCAGCTGTAAAACTAATGCAACAACGCTGACAGAGTTAACCTCTAAAACCCTTTTATAATTGAAGAGCTCTCTAATCTAATGGAGAATCCTCTGCTCTGCCACATCGATTCTGGAGTGGAGATGTTCTGCATTTGACTGCACAACTGGAGTAGATTTTCTTCTTGCATGTTTTTGCAGTTTTAAGAACTTTAGCTTTACAGTAAACATGGAAAGTTTATTGTGTTAATCAAGTGGATAAAGACTTCTTGAGAATTAAGAATATCTTTGAGTAGAATTTTTGTTAATATGTTCTCAAGGATAATAAAATTATTGGTTTAAATGTAAACTGAGACGTCTCTTTGCCAGGCCTGGGCACAGACCTCAGCACCACCACACAGTCAGGTGATCTGCCGCCCAAGGAGCGCGAGCGGGACCGTGGCCGGACCAAGGACCGTCGTCACCACCATCACCATCACCATCATCACGGCTCCATGGACAAGGAGCGGTACGGCCACGACCGCCACGACTACTCCCACAGGCATCCCCACGACCGTCACTGGTCCCGGTCACCCAGCGAGGGGCCTGACGGACGAGGTCACAGACAGGTGGGCTCCAAAAGCAAAGATTATTGTCAAGGTTCAGCTGTTTAATTTCTTTATAGAATGTCTCATCGGGAGCATTTTGGATTGTTTGAGATTTTCTCTATTTCTGCATAAGCACGAGACACTTTCTCTTGAGCTTCAGTTCACAGACAGATGACTTGATCTGTTGATTTTTATTTTGGTGGCATTAATAGGACATCAGAAAAGGCCTACTACATGATCCTGTCAGCACCCGGTTTCACAGATAGGATAAGGTCCTTATGCTGGAATGCAGTAATGTCGGGATGGCTTTTTACTGCTTAAAAGTTACCCAGTCTTCTTTTGTGAGCTCCCAGCCGATCCCTTTGGCCGACCACTCCTGGGGAGGATAATAGTGGTCCTGAAATTCATTCTTTAAAGACAGTGTGTCTAACTGTGGGTTGATGAAATCCAATATCTTCAGAAATAGTTCTGTAACATTTCCAGCCTAATGAACATCAACAACTCACCCTCTTTTGCCCTGAACGATGTACTTCTGCAAATACTTTGAGATGATCAGTTTAAAAAAAATAATTACTGGCTAACAGGTTCAGGTACTATTTATTGACAGCCAAGTAACATTGGGAAGAGTCAAAGTAGAATACTTCACATTTGCAGGATCTGCTTTTAGGGCTGATATTAAAAACAAAAAGTTTTAATTTCATTTTTGCAGAAATATAGAAAAGAGTACACAAAGTCTCAAGCACCAGTGTAAACATGCAATTATAGTATGGTATGACCTGTTTTTGTCTTAGATCTATATTTTGATGTACTTGGATCTTCTTATTATGATTTGAGGACAGTAGTTAATCATTTCACATATATTGTGACCCTTAATCTCCAGTAAGAGTTCACAAAAGGTTATTTCCACACTTCTATTTATGGATATCAATCTCTCTTTTTTCTGTTATGCTTTTTTTTCTTTGTCACCATTTCTCTGTCCATTTTTCTTCAATGTGACATGTGGCTTCTTGATGTCAATTTTTTGCTTCATCACTATGTTTTTGGATGATTTTTAATGGTGTCTATGTATCCATCTTTCTATCCATCTATCTCTCTTTCTTTCTGTCTATCTATCTCACCTCCGTTCTGCTCTATTCTGGTCTCTGTTGTTATTGTTGTGGTGCGTTTTGATTTTCCTTGTTTACATTTTGCTGTAGGGCAGTAGTTCGGTGAGCGGCAGCCCGGTTCCCTCTACCTCGGGGACCAGCACTCCAAGGAGAGGCCGCCGCCAGTTGCCTCAGACCCCTGCAGTCCCACGCCCACATGTCACCTACTCCCCCGCGGTCCGCAAGCCTGGCTATGGCCCCCCAGGGCCAGGTCGCCTGCGTTCACCCTCTCCACGACACTTCTCCCCTCCAGACCATGACAGAGGCTACCACCACCGACCCCCGTCACGCCACGCCTCTCCCCACCACGGGGGATCTTCATCCCGGCATGGTTCGCCACGCTCCCCTAGGCACCAGTCCCCACGCTCGCCCCTCCACGGCTCACCCAGGTCGCCTCACCGAAGCCGCTGGAGCGGGCCTCCACCCGGGGACAGCCTGGAGTGTGACGGGCCCTTCTACGAGAGAGATTATGAGTATGAGCGTCACCACGAGCCTCCCGCCTACGAGCAGAGCCTCTCCCACGGCAACCCTCACCCACATGGAGGAAATCCTCACCCACACCCACGTTCACCTAGGACTGCCCGCCACGGGCCTCCTCCACCCCCTCAACCGCATCCACGCAGGGTACCCAATGGTTACCGCTCATCTTCACCTTCCCCACACCGACGGGGAACACCAGGGGTGCCACCCCACCCACACCACCGGCCTGCCCATGCCAGAGGGCCCCGCAAGGGCCTGCATGAACCTTATAGTGAGACGGATGAGGATGACTGGTGCTAGCAACCATAAAGAGCTTGGGATATGGCAGGAGAGGAGAAGAAGAACAGCAGTCTCCAGTGCTCTGGCCTTGGATATGTAGACTAAAAGAAAAAACAAACAAAAACAAAAAAACAAAACAGAGTGGTGGGAGGGGTTGGATACCCTCAAAACCCTCTACCTTCAGCTCTCAGACTATGAACGAGTGGAAGGGGTGGAGGGGAGGGGGGGGGGGGGGGGGGCAGCAGAAAAGCCTTTTACACATTTTGTGTAATACTCAAATGAGTGGCAGAGCAGCATATGGGTAAAAAAGAAAAAGGGACCGCCAAGGCCTGGACACAGTTTACCTCTGCTTCTTTCAATCTCAGAACTACACTTCCCAGAATCAGCCTTGATCATCAAGACCTGGCTGCAGGAGGAAAAGAGAGGTGTGGGAGTGCAAGCAAGGGAGGAGCACGAGGTTATTCAAGTGCGATGTTATGAGGCCTAAAAGCACTTCTCTCAGACTGATGCCTGATTGCTTAGATTTGCTAGACGTGTGCTATTTGTCTCTGGCCAGACTGCTACTGTAAAAGCCTGAAAATGAGCTGGAACACAGAGTCCGCCGCTTAGACTCTGCTCCTAGACTGATATGTTTAAAGATACATCAATTAATAAAAAGCCAGGACCCCCCCAACCCTTACATGCCAAGCTATGCCTCCAGAAAATCAAACTTGAACAATGAAGAACACAGTGAAACTTTACATGACAAACACTGAAAAGAAAAAAAAGGGAGAACAACCACTTTATCTAGAACCTTTTTCCTGTCCAACTGACAGAACCAGGAAGCTCCGCCTATACTGCAAAAACCAGCCAATCACAGCGCTGGCTGATATTTGATGAGTTTTATCATCTCTGTTTACTGTTAAGGACTCGCATAGTGCTGATGGAACTGATGTGACATCACTTCCTGTCCAGCAGATGGTGGTGATAGTAGTAGTAGTAGTAGTAATAGTGGTGGCAGGGGGGAGAGCCACAGTGTGGGCTCACTTCCTGTTCACTTGCACTTGTGGGCTGGGCTCAGGTAACTAGAGAAAGGGAGTCGGACACTTTGTCAAGCCCCTTCCCTCTCTGTTACTCAACAGAGGATGACCCGACAGGAAATGACATCACACAGTTGAATAGGGCGGAGGAGAGGAAAGGAGGGATGGGAAAAAAGACTAATTTCTTCAGTATTTCTTCTGTCGTTTACTTCTTGTTCTTCTTAGGACATTGGAGCTTGGTTCTTCTGTTGCATTCGCTCAGCCTCCTTTGATCTTTTTCAGAGCTCAAAATTTGATGGAAACCTGCATGACTGATTAAATACATATTAGAGTGGAAATCTAACTGGTGTGGGTGGGACCTGGGGGGCTTTGTAGGAAACTTTGCATTTAGGTTTACAAAAGAAGCTCCCTTCTTTCCAGCTCTTTCTTTCTCTCTCAGATCTCAGCAGAAATGTTGTTTTGTGGTTTCTTTGTACCTGAAGCAGGTTTTGACAGTTGGGTATTTTATTTGTCTCCGTTTCTGCCCAAAGCTCTGTTACTGCAACCTGTTAGAAGACAAGGAGCACCTTAAAGTTTCTGTCTGCACTTGAGAAACAAGAGGGAGAAAGGGCATGGAGAAGCGAACCTCTAACACACTTTATTTATTATTGTTAATGATGACACTTTTATGAATAATGATATCAATGTCAATGCAAAATGATGGTGACAATGATGATGATAATGGTGATGATTGGTTGAATTGTTGCTGTAGATTTGTTGTCATGTTATTTGGAGTTATGCTGTGTATGCTATGTTCATCCTGTTTACATCCATTATGTTATTATTCCCCCGTTCAATGATGTTTATCGGGTTCCTGATGCCTTGCTGCAATGTTTCAAGTCAACTGCGGCTTGGGAACTCTTCCTGAGCAGCATTGTGTGCTATAATGCAAATCTTTAAAGACACACTTTTTTCTCTCTGGAATGGTGGATTTGGAGGTCAGATGGACTCTCAGTTATCTGACCTGAAGTGGTTCAAAAGGGGTCAGAACTCTGTCAAGCCAACCCAAAGATCAGTAATTTAGGTTCAGAGTCAGAGGTAGGACAATTTATTGAGAGCCGTGAAAACTTTGTCTTCTCTTCACGCTTAAGAGGTGCTCAGAAAAGGTCATTTTACCGAGTTAAAAGTTCTACTGAGATTGAATTCTCCCACTTGCTGCCAAAAAAAGCTTTTCAATCTGTTGGGCTCTGCAGTTTTGTAGTGAGAACAGCACAGTATTAGTGGTACAGTGTTGGTGTCGGTCAGTATTTTTGCCACCAGGGGGCAGTGATAAACATATTATGTTATTGGCCCTACCTTTCCTGTCTACAGGACAGTCTCTGAGCCACATCCTAGTTTCAAGATCAGGAGTCAAAGCTGATCTTTACCTTATATCTTTGCAAGATATATATGTTAAGTCCTTGTGTTTCGCAGGAAACATGGATGCAGCCCGAGAGACAATATCTGTTTGTCAGTCCGCCCTTCCGCTTGCTTGTCTGCGCCAATGCTGACCATCCACCCCACCCTACAACCCCTTCTCTCAGGTCTGGCTAACCAGAGTCAACTAGTCATCCCAGTTCAGTCACATACGGTTGTAGCAAACCATTCCCTGCCAAAACCAACCTCAGTATCCACCGACCTTCTTTTCCCTAATTTATCCTTCTTTTGCTGTCCATTTGACGTCTGTTCTTTCAGCTTGGTAGAGAGTGATGCTGAAGGTTCAGGACAGAAACACTTAGGACTAATAATATTTCATCCTTATTGTTATGAGGGATAACACTTATTGAATATTCAATAACTCTAGGACAAAATGATAAAGTATAGATAAATATAGTTGATTACCTACAGATAAACCTAGATATGATATCGTAGATGTAGTTATAGACAACAGAGTATAATTAGAGTTTCAGATAAATATTTATTTTGCATACCGATCATGCTCACAAAGAAGTCAAAGAATCGAGCTACTCTTAAAACCTCGCGCTGTTTGCAAAAGCCAGAAAACAAACCCCAGTCCACGTGTTGACTCTATGCAGACCTCATAGGCATCCTCATCATATTACTTCAAAAAGGTGAACCTACGACGCAGTGGTTCTGTAAAACAGGCCGAGGAAACGGGAACATGCAGATCTGAGAAAATGTGAACACTGGCACCGATGTTTTTTTCCCCAGACTTCACATGACATCACACCCCCACAGTTCATGTACCTCTGTAGCTGTCTTTTTCCCTCCCTCCTCCTGATGACGATTCCCTTTTTTCCTCCACAAATTTCTATTCTCTCCAAAAGATGTGTTGCCTCCAGGCCTAGTAGTTGAGCATTGCGTAGGAAAGATGTGGATTGGGGGGGTGGTTGTTTTTTGTTAACTGTTCATTTGCTTGGTGGGCATGAAGGGGCGCATAACACGAAACCCCCTTTCTGTCCTCACCTACAATCAAGAGGTTACGGCAGGTGGGGAATGTTCCCCAAAGCCCCCTACAGAGCCACAGTGCCTTCTGTATCCGAGTCAAATTTGTCATGCCCCATCTTGTCCATCGCTCACCCCCTCAACCCTTAACCCACTGTAGTAGATGAGATCATCCACACTACGCCTTAAAAGTTGAGTCCCACTGGCGCCCATACTAGCATAGAAATGGGGAGAGTGGTGACTTTAAAACTGGGCCACAGTGAGGAAACGGTCAAAAGGCTAGACTCGAAGCAGGAAAGCCACATCGCATCCAGAGTGGGACGGACGACTTTAAAACTCCCATTCAGACATACAGATTTTTGTAAAAGTTGCCAAAATCCTAAGAGATCCACACAGTTGGAATCAAAGCCTTGAGGTTTTGGCCTCTACAGACTAAAATGACCATCATTTCAGGATCCTGCTAACTGGCTAGCCCTCTTGGCTATGGTGTGGCACCATCTCGTGTCCATCCCGGAGATGTCCTGGGTCCAGTTTCAGGCGGTGTAGTGAGAGTTTCACAGAGGTGCACGGCAGTTTGCTTACTTCTCAGGTCCCTCTAGAGTTAGGTAGCTAGATAGAAAACATAACAAAGAGTCAGCTACACGACAACACGCAGGCGTCAGATTGAGTTATTGTATGGTTTTACCTGGTGTGGTGTCAGAGGTTGGAACGGTAACCCCACCTTTCTGCTTTCACTAGCACATTATACACCGACTCCTCTCCGTCAACAGCCTGCCGACACGCCACACTGTTGACAGGCAGGCATTAAAAAGCCACCTCCATTTTGGCTCCATGACACCACTCGCTTGTCCAGAATTGTAACAGCAGATCCAAAATGGCCGACACACAACACTGCCCTTTTGTGAAAGCATGTTGTGTGTGAGCATTTCCAAAAACAAACACCGTTCTCTTTGACGATAAAAGATCAGTGAGCATTTGATCTTTATTAGTTTTTGTGGGTGTTTCTCTTTGTTTTGCACAGGATTGGGGAGGGAGGGGAGGGTCTGCAAGGTTTTTTGCTCAGTCATCACTTCTCTCCACATCTCCTTCGCATCTTCACCTCTGGCTTCTGTCACCTTTCTAAATGTGTGACTAATCATTTCTGGATTTTCTTCTTCCTTGTGGGATAAAGGAAAACCGAACAGATGCACCAACCCATCCGCTCAGTTGGCTGTGAAATTGTGTCAGCGGGTCAGTCGTGAGGCAACGTTTCGAAAACACAGAAATAAGGGCTCTCTTTAAAAAAAAAAAGAAGAAGAAGAAACAGTACACCGTGGGGTTTAATGTACAGTAGTGCTGCCAAAAGTTGTGCTTATGTAGCTGAAGCCACTCTGTGGTCTCCCCTTTGTACAGCACTAAATGTGTGCATGCGTGTGTGTGTGTAAGGGGGGTCAAGAGCAAGGCAGGGGAGGGACGGGTGGGAGGGGCCGAAGGCAATTTCTTAGAGGTTTTGGTGACTCCAGGGGATGGAGGGGGGAGTTTGGGGGAGGGGAGGACAGGGAGCAGCAGCAGCAGAGGTCATAGAGATGTTTTACACAATTTCACAATGGCACTGGACCACTTTTCAGACTCATCCTCAGAAGCCATGTTTTCCACCGTCAACCCATCCACGCTTTGTCCCGCTGTGAGGAAGGCGGGGCTACTGCTGCCATAAGGAGACATTTCCTCTGTTTGTGATGTCTGTGACAGTGTGTGAGTGTATATGACTGAGCAGGTGTTTCGAGTGGCGTCCAAGTGTGTTTAGTGCTGAAATCGATTTGTGTGATTAATCGCTAAGCCTTGTCATTATTATACATATACGTATCAGGTTTGTCACGATACTAGAATTTAAAAGTCAATACTGACGCCATGGAAAATCCTCAGAACCAATGTCAATACCACAGGGAAAAGTGAGAGAATATTTTAAAAAAGAAACATCAACAGCAAAAGTACTTTTAAGTTGTGCGAACGTGTGCAAAAAATACGACATTGTTGTTCAGAGTTATGAGCGTTATCTCCTTCAGCTGTTGAGTTGTCTGCTAGTGTGTGAAGTTCAGTGTCAGCTGGGGGAGGCCAACACGGCACCGCTGGTATCAATACTGTTGCCAGTGAATATCTGATTGACTAATAGCTTTTTTCTAATAAAAATCACTTCAAGCTTCTAAGATTTTTGGCAATGGCTTAAGAGTTCCTGTTAAAGTGCAGGTTTGTTGTTATGTGGATTACAAGCATTGAAAACACATTTTCCCATTAGTGTTCATTAATGAGCCCGGTCTTTATTTGAAAGGAATAAAATAACAGTCAAGTTTGGTTCAAGTTAAATAAGTAAGTCTAAAGTAGTAAATGGTTTTGGAAGGTTGCGTTGGCTGTCTCTATAATCGACTAATCGTTTCAGCACTAACTGTGTGTGTGTGTACATGTGAGAAGATACGGGACTGGGTTTGCATGCATTCGTCCGTTTATTAGTGTGTGTGTGTGAGTGTGTGTGTGTCCTGGCACCATCGGCTACAGAAGGTAATCCTCAGTGCCTTACACTGTACAGGACACTAAGATGATTTCTTCATCTGAGATATTCACAGCGCACACACATTACGTTTTAACGTCCTCATTGCCCATTTGTAAGGATGGTGTGGAGGGTGTGTGTGTGCGTGTTTGTATTTGTAAGGGGTGGGTGGGGATGGGGTGGGGCTCGGTAGATCATCATGTCACATGTGTCACCCATCGTCTCTCTCTCCGATGCCATCTAATGTGTATATTGCCTCTGTAATTCTTGTGTATACAATCCATAAAGTTTGTGGAAAAACTCTGTGTTCATCAGATCTCCATTCATTCTACACTCGTGTCGCTTCTCTTCTCCCTCCGTCCCCTCGCCCTCCCTCATCGTGTCATACCACCCGTGAACGCAAGGTGGTGGGATTGAGCTTTCACAGTCATCGCTCATTGTGAAACGCCCGTGTGGATCGGTTGAGTGAGTTGATGCTTGTGTGCGCATTTTTGGTTTGGAGGCGTCTGTCTGCCGCGTGTGCGCCTTGCTCAGTTCCTCGTGGAGCCTGGCAGGTGTTGGGGCTGAATTTATTCACTTAGATGAATAATTTGTAACTCAGATGAGCTCATCTGATCAGCAGTGAGAAAAGAAACCATTCTCAGTGATCAGTTTCTCACCTCAAGGAAACAGAAGAACAGCAAATACAGCCCGGCAAACCCTTACATTGTATGTTAGCAGATTAAACTGCATTTAACGTATCGATAATCTCTTTAGCAGATAAGGTCTTTACATTTACACTGAAGGAGAGAGTTATTAATGCAAAAGCATGACACCTGCCTGGTTCCCTAATCCAATCAGTAAATCGATTCTTCAGAAACACGGGTGAAATGCCTCTTGCTGTAGCCGCTGCAACCCTCAAGCAAGCTCCCCACTGTTTCCATCCATGTCCTTCATTCTTCCCTCACCATCTCTGTGCTCTCTGTTTGTTTGCATCGCCATCAGCTCACCAGAGAAGAGTTGCCTCCAGAAGATTCGATTTCTTTTTTGCTTTTTGCTCTCAACGTCAGACACTGCAGGCTGATAGATCCCAAAACTGGACTGTTTTGTAGGTTTGAAAATACTGTTAAATATGTTCTTGTGAAGAAGACTCTGAATCCCTTTAACCAGTTTAGGGAATATTAGTGATGCAGCAAACGAGCTATTACGTCATGTTCAAGCCACTAGAGATGTTTAATCTGCTGCTTTGTGACAGTTAGGCAACAGCTGGTGGAACAGTCACACCGAGCAAAACAGAAGGAGTTAAAGGTGTCAGAGTGACCTTCTCCAGTTACACAGCCCTCCATCAACTGTTAAAAAACAAAGGGTTCAATCTGACTTCAAGGGATCCGAATACCAGCTGATTAAAACGCTTTGTCAGCGCTGAGATGCAAAGCTGGGAATTTCTCTGGAGCAGCCACCAGCCATCCATCGCCACGCACGCCATCCGACCCTCGACCCAGTAGAACCAAAACCAGTGCCACAGTAGAAAACCATACAGCAAGTCGGGGTGGAAAAAAAAGATAAAAATATAATCATACATGGCAATTTAAGATAAAAGAGAAGTATTTAATTACAGATTTGCATGTGCAATGTGCATGCCACTATGTTGGGTAACAAGTCAACTTCAGGAATTAAAAAAAATATATTAAATATAAAGAAAAAGTATATATATGTAAAATATATATATATATAGATAGATAGATAGATAGATAGATGTTTTTAAGAGCAATGTGTTTCTTTTTTCTTCTATTTTTAAAAACAAAAATAAAAAAAAACACAAATAAAAAAACGGAAAAACAAAATCATGCTAACAAAAAAAATGGAAATGACTTTGATGATAAAATCAAAGAATGTTTGTTTCTTATATTTGCCAGTTATTTCACGGGGAGGGAGGGGGGGTATCCATGGGGTAAGAAGGATAGATAACACTTAAAATAACATTACAAGAAAAAAGAGAGAGAAAAAAGATTTTAAAAAGGGGGGAGAAGGAATACTAAACTTTTCCTGGATGATAAACAATCCCTTTGAGAGTAAAGAGCTGCCTGAACCTGAATCTGGTGATGTTATTCCCGTTTATGAATTCCCTTCTTTCTCTCTTCCTCTCTCTTTCTCACTTTCTCTGACCATCTCTTTCTCTCCCTGTTTCTTTCTCTATCTCTGCTGTTTCTACCAGTGCATTTTGTAATTTCAAACAGAACTCTTCCTAAAGAACCTGAATAAACCAGAGAGAATGCATTCTAACCATCCTCCTGTCTGCTTCATTGATGCCACACACCGTGACACCGCTGACGAATCAGAGTACACATAATCTAATCACAGTTGGTGTGATAACAGATGTGAAATAGCTTGTTTTAGCTCCACAAAGAACTGTAGGTGGACTCACTGAAATCAATACAAGACTGAACAAACTCTCATTGCAATTGATCACATGGAAAATGCATGTAAATAGATTTCGGTTGTTCGTGAGAGGAGAAGCTTATTGTGATGTTCTGCAAACTTGAACGCAAATCCAAATGCTACAGTCACAAACTGGAAATAAAGGATGACCATTACTTACATTTTACTCTGCAGTATTTCTAATGGCCTGCAGGGTGCCTCTTCTTGTGTTAAAATAAAAGTCAACTTGCAAAGAAGTCTGTAAAAAAACAACTTTCTGCCTTCCCTGATTCATGAGTGCAATAAATACTTTCTGGATGAGTTCATAGTGTCTGCTAGTTAAAAGTCTTGATAAATATTTGTGCCACTTTTATTTATTTATTTATTTATTCTTGTTGCTAGCTGCTGTAGACTCCACCTAACCTTGCCCAGACATCCTCCCAAAACACTTGCCTGCCTTCTTTTACTTTGTCATCTCAAAGTGAATTGTTAAGATCTCATTAAGATAAGAAAAAATCACCCATCTGTTTACGAGGAGGTGCTGGTACCATATGACCAATGAGAAACATGAGCAGGCGTGCTGGGAGCAGAGTCATTTACACTGCTCAAAAACAAAAAAAAAGCTGTTGTCACTTTGATTTTCAGGTTGTCTTTCCATTCAGCCCCCTGTAGCTCAATACTTTTCATTTCCATCAAATGATGTGGGATCCAAAGACATTACCCAGTTCATATAGGAATAGCTATCTGTCATGATTCTTTTTCTTACTGAGAGATTGCTCTCCGTTAACTTTTTCTTTAAATTTACCTGAGGACTTAGACGTCATTGATTCTCATTATGAAAAAACACCAAATAAATGAGGCACGTGACAACTCAGGGTTAAACCTTTAGCTTCCAGATCCCGAGAAGAACAACAGATGAATTACTCTGTCCGTGCGAGAGTTTTCTGAACTTTCAGGACGTATGTTGTACGATCACATGTAACAGGAGTAAATAAATTGTGTGGTGATTTAAATACGGGGACAGTGAGCACTGTAACCAGTGGCTCTTCTTCTTGTACTGTTTCATTACTAAACCAAATTATGGATGACAGAACAATGTTTTAGAAAAGTCAGTACAACAATTTTAAACTATTATATGCATTTTTAAACCATTTATGTTAGTTTGTACCAGCTGTCTACTTTATTCACAGTGTCACAGCAAGAAGACAGAAACAGACGTCACAAGATCAGAGCAACTTGGTATGACAGAGTAATATGTGAATAATACAGTGTTACACACTAACAGGATGACAGCAGACACACGTGCTCACAGTGAAACAGCAGGAATGATGTGGTGAAACTTTTACTTAATCTGCATTTAGTTTAAAAGCAACAAACAGTATCAGGGAAACTAAGTTTGTGGGATTTATTTACGCTCACACAACTTATATTTTCACACAAGACCACATAGCTTTGGATAGCTTTTCTCCCTTGAGAAATGAAATCCTCACTTAAAAACTGTATTTTGTATTAAGTGTAATGATAGAAATGATTTGATGAACTGAAACACTTAAGTGGGAGAAAGATACAAAAGAGGAAAAATCTTTCTCACAGCAAAAATTACTTTGAGCATTCATGTCTACATTGTGGTCATTTATAATCTAAGCAGCTATAAATGTAAGTGTTAATATAATGATTATAATCTTTTCATGCTGTTAGCTATGAAATGACCCAAATACAGACACTTGGAATCAAACTATAATCTAACAAAAGGCGAGCTGTTTATTTGTGGCTGGGAGAAAGTACAAAACAAAAGGCCGATCCACACTGAGGCAAAACTAACTAGAACTAAACTGGGAAAAACTAAATGCTAAACACAAGAGACAAAGAACAAAACATGAAGTTGAAAAAAACATGAAAGTGAATAAAGGCAGACAGAGGACATGTATACTTAGAAGAGTAACAAGGGAAGTAGAAACACATGGGAAACACAGCTGACACAAATGAATGATGATACAGGGGAAGCAAAACTAAACACACTGAACATGGAAACACAAGAACGTAAAAATAAAACAGGAAACATAATGAGATGAAAACTGTGACAACACGAGCTTGACAATATGACTTGGAAAACACAGACAGGAAACACATAACAGTCTGGGGAGAAGGACTGATACACTAGAGGAACGTGAAACAGATAAAGGGAAACGAGGCACATACGTAACTAAAAATCACACATAAAGGACAAACTTACACAGGAAACCGAAAATTATACATAAACAAGGGAAGCGTGGATGAAACCAAACCTAACTAAGACACACTAATAATAACACTAGAAATTACCATTACATCATAAGAAATCAGACATACATAATAAACTCAAAATGCTGGGTCACAGCCCCATTGCCCTGGCAAAAAACAGGTAATTTTGCCCATTGTTAGGTGGTTCCTAGGCAACTTCATGGCATATTATTATTCATTGAAATCATTACAATATATCGTGTAAAATTCAACTTTTCCAGATATAAATTAGTCGTTACTCTCTTGAATATGTTATAGGTGCATAAATGCTACAAATAAGTCAGTTTGGCCTGTTGGTAGGTGATTGCTAGGCAACATGATCTGATATCGATAAGAACCTTCAGAGATCTGTGAAGCACCCTGTGCCAGCTTTGGTTGCGCAGATCCTGATCATACGTGAGGAGTTTCTGGACAAACAAACAAACAAACAAACAAACAGGCAGATTTATTGCACAATATTAGAAATTTAGAGTTTTGCAATTGCTAAGCAATTAAACTGCAATGATTCAACAGCATCTGTCATCCAAATTCTATCTCTTAATGAGTCATTCTTTTCAGATTCTCTTTTTTCTCTATATTAGCTTCATTTCACTGTAGAACCTGGAGAGGGCTTGATTTACTACCAT